GCTGGTGTTCAGGAGGCATCAAGAAGGAAAGTAAAACCTTTATTTCAAGCTACGCTTAAAAGACTGGAATGAAGCGTTTTTCTCAAATCTGTGTTTCTTGGGCCGATACCTGTTACCTGTCTGTTAGCTTTTCAGTTGAGCTAAGTTTGCTGCATCCATACTCATTTTGACATCAGGTTCCTAATGCATTACTTTTCTGGAGTATTGAGGAAGATAAATGACATGTTGATGTTATGGCTATTTCTTTTAGTCTCACCACAAAGTTTGCATAGAGCCTAAAGTTAGAAATGCTTCACTGAATGTACAGAATCTACAGACTCAAAACTTGGATTTTGTGGTACTGAACACCTGCAAAATGTATTTAATGATCATAAGAACATGTGACTTTTTTTTTTTTTTAAGAGTTTGTGCTGTTGTATTACCATGAAAATGAGGGCAATTGGCAGTGCAAACCAAAGGAAGGAGAAGGGAAATCTTCTGATTCTTTCAGTTTCTATCTTTCAGTTTGCATTGGAGGTCTATTTGGAACAGAAAGCAAACTGAGACACTTGGTAGTGTTCTGCTGCAATGAATGTTCCATATATCCAAGTCTTTCTGGAAGGTTGTAATAGGAGGGTGTGCTCTGAACACGCAGTGCTAAACCTTATTGCTACACCACTCCTTTCTAAGAGAAAAGGGAATGTAGATGTGAGTATGGAGTCTATGCAAAGTTTTATTTGTTAGTAAATGGAGCATAAATGGATATCCTAACTACCTAATTTTGGTTTCTGCCTACTTCACTTGGGCATGCCAGTCGTTTCTCAAATATGTATGTATCAATGTGCATGCAGAATGGGGTGCTCTTAGATTGACAGGCAGAGTTCCCGTGACAGTAATAGCTTTGCTGTTAAAAGCAAGCCAGCATTTCTTGGCACCAACAAGGAATAGACCCTGAAAGGGCACTAAGCTGCCCTCAAGGACCAGATTTATTGTTGACTGATCATGGTTAATCTTCAGCACCAAGCAGAAGTGCAAGTTTTCCACTTGCTACAAGTAGCAAACATGGAAATTTTGGTTACTTGAAAAACTACGGATTGAAATGTAGATACGTCACGAAATACAGACTAATATTATTAATATGACGTGGTTTCCCTACCTTCTTGATGAACATTTAATTAGCATGTGAATGCTGGGTAACAACTGTGAGCTATGCATAGAAAAGTAACTTGACCTTTAAGTGGTTTGGTTTTCTAGGTACATGTCATTCTGGGACAGTGTCTGGGATGGGTTTTTGGTTTTTGTTGGTATTGTTTGTTTGTTTTAGTAATGCTTCTCAGTACCTTTTTTTAATCAACAGTGTGAGAACTGTCTTTCTTGCTAGTTTTGTTTCATACTTGATAGTACATTTGGGCAATGTGCCAGCGGTTCTTGTGGTGAAAAGGGGATTGTCCAGTTTAGATCTGTTTTAAAAGGACAGTTTTCTAGTAAGCAGGTCACTCATATATATGTGTAATGTAATTCAAGCATTGGTGACTTTATGACATACTGCTTTCATGAAAAACTTGTGTTTTTCCCCTCTTTCCTTCAAGCTTCTGTTTTGCATGAAAGGCTTTCTGACTCATGGGGATTTTTGGTCATGTTCTATATTTGAGGACTTTTACTTCTATTGTCACAACTGCTTTTGTACTCCGTGTGTATAATCTAATTTCTGTGGTAGCGTGCCGTGATTCCTTGTGTGTGAGAATTCATTTCACTGTGAAGGAAACAGCATCGGGTCACGGGATTGTTGAGTGTTGCAGCGTGTTTGTATCAGACACGGTGTGGTGAAGGATGGCTCTGTGGTCGTGTTGCATGCATCATGTCTTAGGCTTTGAGAGTGGTCAGTTAAAGGCTTTGTGGTTAAGGCAGTGCTTTTTCATATCTTTATGTTGATAAAACATACCTGTTTCAAGGACCTAAACTTCAACAAAATGTTGTGTGTTTTTTGTTCTTTAAAACAGATCCACAAGAGAACTATTTCTGTTCTTTTGGGTGCTTTTTGGCTAACTGTGCTCAAACTGTCCTTGCTCTTCTGTAACATTTATGTCAATGACGGCAGTATGGAGAGCTTAGTAATTGTTCTAAGGTTGAAGAATTGCAAAAGCTTTCTTTGTGTCCCCTGTGCTGGAAAATTAGGAAGGGAAATGGGAACAGGCAAATGAATTGCTATGAATTGCTACTGCATTTCCCCTACTGAGTAGTACTTGGATCTTTTCTTTTTTTGGGGAGGAGCTTCCAACAAGTTGCTGTTGAGAAATTTTAAACCTCTTAATCTCTAAGTGGTAAGGCAAAAAAAAAAAAAAAAATCTGCTAGACAACCTTGTGGAACATTGCTATGGTTAGAGAGTGCAGGTGAGCAAAACCTGAAAAATAGGAAAGAATGAAAACACCTAAACTTCCATTGCACGTGGCTGAAAGTATCTCAAGTTTTCTAGATGAATTGCTTAAATAAATGAAAAGGAGTCATAATTACCAAGGATCTGTTATGTGTTTCCCTTATTTCCTCCTGTTCTTGCCTCTGTTCCACTCAGTGGATTTAGAAATTGTCCTGGTTTCAACTGGGATGGAGTTGATTTTCTTCATAGTGCCTGGTGTGATGCTATGTTGTGGCTTTAGGAGAACATGTTGATAATAAAACGATGTTTCAGTCACTGCTGAGCAGCGCTGTACAGAGCCGAGAACATCTCAGTTTTTTAGCTTCTTATCCTGCCAGTGGAAGAGTGGGGGGAGCACAATTTCCTCCCCCAGACACAACCAGGACAGCTGACCTAAACCGGCCAAAGGGTGATTTCATGCCATACGGCATCATGTGGGGAAGAAAAAAATGGTGGGGAGTTGGCTGGGGGGGGGGGGCAGCTGCTGATTCAGGACTGGCTGGGCACCAGTCAGCAGGTGATGAGCGATTGTGTTGTGCATCACTTGTTTTGAGTCTGTATTGCTGTTAATTACTCTCTTCCTTTTCTATCTTTTTGTCTCAACCCACAAGTTCTTTTCTCTTTTTTTTTTTTTTTTTTTTTTTCCTTTTCCTTTTTAAAATTTTCCTGATTCTCTCCTTTGTCCCATTGGGAAGGGGGAGTGAGTGAAAGACTGTATTGGTGTTCAGCTGCGTGCCAGGAATAAACCACAAGAATAAATGAATATTTCTTTTAGCCCTTGCTCAGTAGGAAGTCTAGGAGTATGCTGATTTTCATTATTGTAACTTCATATTGCAGGGATTTCCGAGTTACAAAATATTCCAATCTGAGCCACAGCCTGTAGACAGTCCTGCTCTCACCTTCATCTTAAGTGATGACGAAAAAAACAACCCTCTAAATGTTGGCCCTGTTCTATCAGTGAACCATTGACACAGTTTTGTTTTGCCTTCTTCCAGTTGGGTTTTTGAGTCCCTTTGACCTTCAATGAACAGCTACCTGTTTAGATGGCCACTTCTCCACCATTGATACAACTCTAGTATCCAGTCACACTTTCTCCCATTTGCATACACCCTTATAAACCCTTTGAGGAAAAGAAACTGCAGCTTTACTGGTGTTCTCCCTTCCACTTTACAAGTTAACAGGCATCTGCCTAGATTGTCTTAATAGCTGATCATTTCCTGGCTTCACTGATCTGTGAAAAAAACTCTCAGCACAAGGGTATATGTAAGTGCTTGTAACTACATTACTGCAAAGATTGAGTCGTATGTTTTTTGTTTTTCCAAGACCTGCAAAATTGTTTCTTGTTTTTCACCCCTAAGGAAGAAAATCGTAGTGGTGATTGTATGAATATTCACATCTGCAAATATGGTTGGAGATGAAGCAGTTAGTTTTATGTATGCTAGACATTTCTATGCAATTCATCCTTGGACAACTGCGCTGGGGATGACCTCGTCAGACCAGGGATGGCTCAACAATTGCAGTATGTTTGCTCTTGCTGGCTCTTAGTAGTGTTGTACCTAAGGGCACACCTCTATCCCACCTTTAAGTGCTGCTTCCTCTGGTACCTGCGAAGGTACTTGCTTGTACTTGTATCTGCTTACCACCTGGCAGTGCTTTCGTTCATCCCAAGGCAATCTCAGTTCTTTAAGGGCTCTGTTGTACTTGGTGCATTTATGAAGCTTTTGGATTTGGTTTTTCTTTGTTTTGGGTTTTTGCTTTTGTACTTCATGATGGGTGCTGATACAGGAGGTGTTTCTGGTTCAGTCTCCTTTGCTGGTGAAATGATGCTTCTGAAATTGTTTTTTAAGTAGCATTGCCAACAACTTCGGGCAAGCCTGTAGGGTTACGCTGCTGTTTTCTTAAGACTGAGCACCACTAAGACTGAAAAGACCATGGGAAGCAGGAGGTGCAGGTAGCGAGGAGACCCCTGATCCAAGCACACAGGTATCTGTCAGAACCCTTATCTCCATTCTGTATTTTGCCAACAGTCATTGCATTTTTATCCCCATATCTATAAATCCAACGTTAATCTTCATGGAGATATATAGACACAAATATGGTGATCAGTCTCTTTTCTCCTCAATTTTCTATTTGTACTGTAACTAAAATTTAAAAAATGGAGCAACATACTAAGGAAAAAAAAAAAAAGCACTGTAGCTGTGTAAGGATTTTGAGAAACAAGTATGAGATTCAGAAGTGTCAAAATAATGTTAAGCAAAAGCAAGTTTCACATTATTCCTTTCCATCTTCTTTTTTATGATTATCAAATGTAGGTCTGTAGTCAATAAGATGGGCACAAGTGGGCCACTCAGGCTGAACTTTTGTCCCCATGCAGTCTCCATACTCAAAAGAAGGTGACAAAGTAACTTCTAAAAGCCATTGCTATCAGACCTTGGCTGACAATACGCTTCAGTCCCTAATTATTTTTTCAATGCATTTAGGTAACTTTATGTCCTGTGCTGGGATAGAGTCTTAATGAACAAATCTTCATTATATGCATTTTTTCGAGAGCTTTTAATTTGTTGCATTGGCCTTATTCTGTGGGCTCAACTGGTCTATTAATAAGTGTTTGTGCAGTCCTTGTGGAGTTAGCCATAGTGTGCTTATCCACTTGTTTGGTTTAGACAATTCTCATAGGGTTTTCAGCTGAATGCATGTAAATACTTAGTAATGAATCCTTCAAGAGTTTGGCATGCTTTATTATTGGAAATCATTTTAATAGGGGAGCAAAAAAAATGTAAATAGTACATTTGTTATGAATGAATTTGAAAAAACAAGCAGCTGAATTGTTGAGAAATCCAGAATAAATACCTAGAAGTAAATAAAGAAAAAAATCTTCTGGGATGTTGAGAAGCTACTGTCATCAAAAGCTGCTTCAAATAGATAAGATTTCCTCATTTCATTACATGCATGTATTTCAGTTGAGTAAACAAGGAAGAAATAGAACCACTAAGTTGTTTGGTGTTTTTCTTGCTGTCGTTGACACCACCCTATATACAGTAGTCTATAAGATGATGAGGCCTAATACTTCAAAAAACCTTGCTGTTAATGTCTGTAAGCTGTTAGGTTAAAAAACATGTAATGTTTCTCATCTTTTAACTTATCGGATTTTAATTTCAGACTTGAAGCAATGTATTTTTCTGTTTTTTGAAATGCAGGAGGTTAGAAGTCAGTGCTGTTCAAAATTCTGTTGCGTTTCCATTTAAGTTTTCGTTGAAGTAGATAAAGATGTTTAACAGCCATTTACCACCTTGTGGCAGAGGCACAAAGAATACAAGAAAAGAGTAAGTTTCTGTTTATCTGCATAGCTGCTTAGATATATTTCAATTCTTTATGGTTATGTTACTAAAAGCTACTGAGACTGACCTTTCTTTTATGGAACGGCACATAAGTATGCAATCCAAAAGTAAATCATTTGAAATAAAACATTATTACTGAATTTGTTTTTCCACTGCTTGATTTAGATGATTCTCTTATTTTCAAACATAGGAGCAATCATTATTTGGGTTGTGGTTGACCTTAAGAGTCCAGCATCTGGATTCAAGCCCTTTGATCCTTTCAGGACAAGAACAGCTTGATGGGTTTTTTAATACAGAATAGCTCTGAATTGTGAGGTTTAAGGCATAGTTCTGTTCAGGTTGAAGGGGAAGGATGAGGAGAAAATAAAACAGCACAACTCAAAAAAAAAAAAAAAAAAAAAAAAAAAGTGCTAGTGGTCTTAGCATACGCAAAAACAGTCCACTTCTATTCCAGTTTTTCTGTTACCTTGTACGTGGTTAACCACTTTGACTCCAAGACAGCAACGCGATACTAACATTACTAATGTGTCCTTAGGAGTAAGGTGTTGTGTCTAGCACTAGTTATGAGGGCTGGCATCAATTAAGGCTGTTCTGGCGTTGCTTTGGGATAAATGCTCTCCAAGAGGAGGTATTTCTGGCAGTGACATCAGAAAACAGACATTTAAGTGTCTGCCAATAAATGAGCTGTGTACACGTTTGACTGTAAGTCATCTGAACAAGTTCTTAAACAGCTGAGGATGTTTGAATATTGGCAGCAGTGTGATACAGCTTGTACTAAAGAGCTGAGTGGAATTAGGATGGTATCCATTGAGATCAGTAGGGCCCAGTGACTCGTCCAGCGTGGCTTTCTATGTTCAATGTGTAAATTAAGGTAGGCTGTAGCAGGTTGGTTTTCCCTCATCCCCTGAACTTTATGGGTGAAATGCAGCTGTTCTGTGGTTGCCTACCACCCTGTAAAATCCAACCACGATGACCCCAGATGAGTCAGTTATCACCCCAGCATTTGCTATATGTTTTTAGCAGCATAGTTCCTTAGTTATGTATGGCACCTAGGTATATACAACTTGTCTGCTTTTCCTATTAAGGAGGGAACTGGATTTGTGAGGATCTTGTCCTCTTGCACTTATCACAAGTACTCAAGGTTGTGGACTGTGTATATCTGTGCCATATACTCTCCCATGTAGAGCTCAAGCATGCTGATGGGGTCAGCAAATGAAGAAAATGCCATAGTAAGTGCGTCTGTTTTTAGTCTGACAATAATGCCATTTTAGTGAGAGTGATAAATGCAGCTTTCTCCAGCAATTCTTTAAGGTTTGTCATGTGAAACTTTATGTAGATAAGTTGGGTATTCATACTGATCCACTAAAAAAAACCCTATATTTCAGGCAGGATTATATTTGTTTTGCTTTTAGAAAATTTTGAGTTGATCGTGAGTTTGAATTTATATTTTCTTGGGAGTGTGAAGAAAACAGTTGAGATGCACTTCTCTGCTAACAGAGAGGAATTGGCCTTCACCTTGTGGTGGAAGGGCAGTTTTGCCTTGGTCTCAAGATAGGCTGCTGATTGAGCTTCTGGGGCTTAAAAAATACCAAAGCATTGTGAGACAGCTGTTTGCTTGCATGAGATTTCTGAAATGAGAAGACAACAATGAATCCCTGTTGCATCTGGAATGGAAAACAAGTCTCTGAAGCCAGGCACCTTGCTAGTAGGTGTGACACACGTGACAAAATGAATCATCATTTGGATTTGTGTAGCTTTTTACTTTTTGCTCTAGATCTCGGTAAGCTTAAATATCTGTATGAGCAATGTGCCCATCCCGGGGGGGAAACACTTCTTTAGGCATGCTAAATTGCTGGAAGTGGACTGGTAATCAGCAGGAAGTCAGAGCCAGTATTTTACTTGAATGGATGATATTGAAGGGCTTTGATGTAAATTCTTACTGAAAGTAAATTCAACCAAGTATGTTAGGATTTGATAGCTTTTTCCTTGATATTCCTCCTTTGCACACTCACAGTACTTTCTTTTCTGCTGTTTTATGTTTTCTTCTGATAACGTTATTCATAAAGCTTTGCAGAATGTTTGTTTTTTGGAAGCCACTAACTTACTATTTTTACTGTTGTTGCAGTACCTGCTACAGTCATCACTGCCACAACTGCTAAAATGGAGGTGGTTTCAGCAGAAGTAAACAGCTTGCTCCCTGAGGAAATAATGGACACTGGTATAACTCTGGTGGAAGATGACAGCATTGAGGCGGTTATCGTGTCTTCACCAATGGGAGACTCTATTCCCATGGAAACAGAACTGGAAGAAATAGTGAACATAAGCTCCACCAGCGATGCGTCAGTTACAACTACAGCCACAGTCACCTCAGAACCAGTTACTGCACCCAGTAATCACTCGGGTGATGTGACTGCAAACACCACCGCTATAAAAACTGAAGGAAATTCAATAGTAAAGCCTGCCTTTCAAAGTGGTCTCCATAAGCTCGGTACTCAGACTCCGGTCACTATATCAGCCAACCAAATTATTCTGAACAAGACCACTGACCTTAAAATAGGCAATCAGAGTATCAAACCAGATGGGCAAAAGCTAATTGTAACAACTTTGGGCAAGACTGGCCAACCCATTGTTTTAGCGTTACCCCGCTGCCAGCTCCCGCAGGCACAGAAGACTGTGTCCCAAACCCAAGGTGGAGACTCCAAAGTACAAGGCCAGCAGATCAAAGTTGTTATTGGAGGTCGGTCAGAAGTGAAACCTGTTGTTGGTGTCTCAGCTTTAACGCAAGGAAGTCAGCTGATAAATACTGCTGCCCAGCCTTCTGTTTTGCAGACCCAGCAATTAAAAACAGTACAGGTAAAGTGAATTGTGCTGATGAAACCTCTTTAAAATGATTCTGTTGGTGCGACTATTGTCTACTTCCTTCACTGACTGACACACTGAAAGGTTGCTTTCAACCTTTCGTTGTATAAAAGTACAATGCTGCTCTTAGCCCACTCTTTCGTCTGTGAATGCATTTACAATTGTATGGCTTTTATCTCCCAGCTACTGTCTTGAATCTTAGGGGTTTGCCTCAGAGGAAGTTATCTATTAAAATTCACTATATTGAATTTTCCCATTGTTTTCATTTTATAAAAATAAACTCTATATGCTTTCATAAGATTGAATTGAACTCTTGATGACTACCATTATTCCAAGTGTACGCTGCTTTCCTCTTTTAAGAGCAACTAGCTTCTTAGGTTCTTAAATTTAGCTTGTTACAAGTAAAGTCTCTGAAGAACTTTAATGCATTTGAGAAGGAACAAAAAAGTATACATCTTGTCTGCCTTAAACCTTGAGCGTATCAATGTGTATTGATCAGCTAGATTCTATTGTAAGATGAACACTTCTAAATGCTATTTCGTGCCTCAGGTACAGATCTTGAGGTAATTGAAAGTAGAGAGAATCTGAAGGGATCTGAAAGTATGTTGAAAAGACATGGGCTATTAGCCGATGGGGCCTGATATCTGATATGTGGCAGAACTGAATATGAGTGACCTCCAAGTGGAGGTGAGGCACAAATGAAAAATCATGAAAGGAAAGCTGGAACACAGTGGAGGTTATAGTGGAAAATAAACATTTTTACAGTTGAGTAAAATGAGAAAGGAAACTCCCAAGTATACAAGCAAAAACGAATTTCCTGCATGTGAAAAATGACTGACTTTTAAGCATACTGCAAGCAGTGGTACATCCTACAGCTAGTATTTTGCTATAAGCAAGCATGAACAACTGTCACTGTGATAGTTTGTTTTAAATCAATAGATGATCCTTGCACCTGTGTCTGCTTTTTCTTCCTTCGTCGCTACATTATACCTGCAAGAAAAAGTGTTTCATACTTATGGCTGTTTTAAATACATCTATTTGATATGTTGCTTTTATTTTTGTACCTTCATTGTTATTGATACTGTTGACATTACAGCTTTCAAAAGTCTTTGCTTGTGAGTCAGTGCAGGAAGGTGTAAGAGCAGATCAGTACCTGTTAGCTTCAGTTACTGCTAACTGGCGCACATAAGAAACAGAAGAAAACTTGCCTGTGATGAACTTCTGCTTGCATGAGATTACTTGTGCCAGCAGTGATTTAATGATTGACCTCTACTGTTTGTCATTAGGAATGCTACAGATTCCTTAGTATAACCTGATACAAATGGACTTAAAACCATTTGTTAATTAATTTAATTGTGGTTTGATTAACTTTAAGTCTTCCTTTTCTAAAATGGATAGAATTCTTAATTCATGATATTCGTTGTTTGTTTTTTCTTCTTAGAAGAAGTGGAAGAAGTAGAAGTGAAAAGCAAGACAAGTGTTCAGTTTGTTAGAACTGTCTGATGCTGCAGAAAGAAACAGCTATGTGAACAGCTCCCAGATAGTACTTATCCCTGCAGAAAATTACTTTATCAAACGGTTATATGAGGCTAAATGAGAGATTCAGTCTACTCTATCATGTATGACAGGAGAGGTGATCCATCCTTCAAGTTCCTGGCTTAGAAAATGAGATCATGCATTTACCCTAAGATCCAGAATAAAACTCTCAACTTTCAGTGCCTTCTTGGCACCTTCTGAGTGGAAAAGGAAGCCGTGAATGCCTCCTTGCTTCCCAGGAGTTATGTGTAACTTAACTCATGTGATTCAGTTGTTTTCAGCAGCAGCATGTCATTTGGACTTGTTGCTGAAAAGTGAATTGATAAAAGACTAGACTTGGATGACTAAGAGCCTCTCTACAATTCTCCTTGCATTATCACTATACTAGCAACTTCTCAGATCAAGGAAATTCATTAGTCTTACTATAATCTATTTGTAACACTTGATATCTCAGCATTTGAGAAAGGGCAAAGTTGACAGAGTTCCAGCAGAACGTTCTTGTAATCTTGCTCCCTCTCTGCAATGTTGAGAGTTATGAGACTGTGCAGTACAAAACGTAGCATGACTTTAGGATTCTTCCAAGAATCCCAAGAGGCTAAGAGAAGAGGCTTATTGCTTTCCTGTTTGTAGACCTGGGTGACTTGTCACAATATAGTTGAAATCACTACCCTGAATGTGGAAAAAATGACTTGGCAAATGCATCTGCTTTTAGCCTAGGGTTTCGGCTTGCATGCAAGCTTAAAAATCACCATGAGCTAGTATATTAGCTGGTGCTTCAGTGCAAAGCAGAAGTTGAGCCTTGCAGATGACTCAACCAGAGGTCCAGACCCACTACCACTTGCTGTCACTAGACTGGTCTGACTTGAACTTGTCTTGATGTGGTAACTGCCTGTCTATTTCAGCAGTTAAATCTACACATCTGTAGCACAACTGCTACCATGGCAAAACAACTGCTAAGCCAGCATTATGGCTGTGCCTCATAGTGGAAAGATAATGTCACGTATGCCCTAATTCCACAGAAAATCCCTATTCCTGACACAGGATTGTATCCTTATTATCTTCTCTGGAGTATGCTGTTATCTTCTATTTCCAGTCTCAGTGTGTTGTGTTTTTTTCCTTTTATACCAAGTATAAATTACTTTGGGTGTGGCTACGTGGAAGATCTCCTGTGAGGTCATCTAGGGAGTAGATTTATAGAATGTTAACTTCCTTGTGGTAGTAATGTTCTGTATCTAGCAATAAGTTCAAGGTGTGCATGTTCCTTTTTCTGTGTGACTACTACATTGTTTGACAGCTGAAGTCAGAGTCCGGTCACAGAAGCATGCTTGCTATCTTGGTTGGTGAGGAGTGCTTACAGAGACACAAATTAATGCTTGAAGTAGAGATGCTTGCGTGTTAATCGTTCTCCCACTTTACAGAGAAAATGACTGGAATGTGCTTCTTAAATTAGTATTTTCCTAATGAAAAAGCTTGTTGCTACAGGAAATACTTTTGCAGTCTAATTTGAAGAAACTTGTGGAGAGCGTGCTTAGCTTACATAGGCAAAGAGGAACAATGTTAACTTCCTGTGATTAGTATAGGCAATGACAGAGAGCTCCAGAGTACTTGCTCTTGCTGAAGCATCAAAGGGGCAGTCTGTCATTTTGATTTCCTCTGGCTTCTCCAGTCATACTGAAGTGGGTAATGAGTTTCCCACTGAAGCACTTGTGCTATCAGCTCCTGCAGCAGGGCTCTCGAAAAGGCTCTCTGCCAAGGGGCAGCCAGCTGGCTGGGAGCGTGCAGCTTGTTTCTAATGGCCAAGGGAACTGTGTTGGGGTTCCTCTGTGTCCCCAAAGGACTGAAGGGATTCAGTCTTTTCTTAGATGATGCTAGAACTCCTTACTAGATCAACAGGAGAGTATTGCAAGTTGAGCCTGTAGGGAGCAGGTCTACTTGTGTTGACTGGCTATTATACTGGGGTTTTTACTTTTCTTTGAGATAATTCATGTTGTTGGCTGGTGCTTTACAAGCGTTTACACCAGTAATTTAAGCCAAGTTAATGGCTGTTACTGGGAAACAACTGCTGTTCAGGTAGGTGGACATCAAGTTCAGAGTTGGTTTTTTGACCTTGCTTCAAAGAGTAGAAGTAATAGCAGTTGAGTTGGTCTGAAACCTATGGCAGAATTAAATCAACAGAATGGAAATTGCTCATCCAACAGGTAAAATGTGGGGTACTTATCAGAAACTAGAATATGTGTAGTTTGGCTTATGAAATACTACTAGATTGTGTTCATCCATCCCCTATACATGTGCAAAGAAGTGAATTCTTGATGTTAAATGTCTTTGAGTTAAGTTTATATAGTGTGCTGTGAATTAAGCTTCTTTCTGTGAAAAATTTATATTTGAATCTGAATGTATCTCGAAGAAGAATGGAGGTTTCTTTGCTGCTTCATTTTGGGGTGAAGGTTTACTCCAAAGAGCACTCCAGTCTCAATGCAGAGGAACAAAAGATATCCTCTAAACACTGTTTGTCTTCTATTGCTGTGTAGTGTTGGAGCTGCTGTGTGTCCCTTTCCCTTGGCTGGGCACAGTTCAAGCACATGCAGACATATCCTGTCTGTAAAAGGCCAGAAGGTTGAGGCCCATCACAGGTGGAGCTCTGGCTGCCCTGGCCCCTCCTGCATCTATGCTGCTGGCAGTTGAAACAGCTCCACACTTGCTCTTTGTGCAGAGACTGCTTAATTCATTATGTATTGCAGAATATTTAGAATGCTTCAGCGTGACTCTACTATAAAGGTGTTCTTAGTCAGCAAATGCTAGAAATAGGGATGTGTATAGGAAACCACAACATCCAGCCTACTCATTTGCTTCATTTAAGCAATCACAACTTTCTCAGGCTGTTGGAAGTAGCTGTTATGTCTATATTTTTCTACACGTGTGAGGTTTCTCTGGTTAGCTGCTTCAGTAGCAAAGGCAGATCTGCAACTTTTGTTGTGGCTTCCCATGTGGATGCCATGCCATGGGTCTGTGACGCTGCTAGAATTGGTGGCTGACATCTGTGGGACGTGGGACAGGCCCAAGGGCTGGTAGAAACAGTTAGGATAAATGCATCTGGTAACAGACCCTTCAGTGTTGAAAAGGTTTGTTGAGGGGAAGGACGCAGGGAAGCCTTTGTTACCAAACCCTTTTTAAACAAAAGCCTTCTAGGTGGAACAATCTGTTCCACCAAATTGCATAAACTTGTTCTTGGTTCTGCAGTTCTTCTGGGGACTGGGTCTGCTGTGAAATGCACCCAAAAGACTTGGATACAGCTAATTGATTTTGTGTTAGTTAACCAGTACCTAAGGCTTCCTGGAGTTTCCAGCTTATTTTTTCTTCCATTTGTAGGGTGGAGTGTGCTGCTATGTCAGCACAGGTAAGGAGATGTTTTAGAGCAGTAGATGTGTTGTTGAAATAGCTTGAGGAACAAGTTATTTTCTAGTTGCCTGAAAATGTGACTTTTTTTTCTAAACTTCAAATTTTAAGACTGATACTTCTAAGGTAATGTTTTTGTATAGACAGACTGCATGTGAAATTTATTTTCAGGACGCTAATAAGGTACCTTGAAATCAAGGCATGTTTGTGCACAGACCTTATAGGATGACTGTAAGGGGTTTGGCTGCCGTGCTTTGGCTTGCTCTCTCAAGTGGCACAGATAACTCATGAGAAATTGTGGTAATGTGTGAGGTGAACAATTTTTCTCTACTTCAACATGTGAACATTGCACTTTTGTATGATATACGTAACAACATGATCATTCTGATCCAAAACACTCAAGTTACTTGAGCTCTTTTTTTAATCTATCTTTCAGATTGCTAAGAAGACCCGAACTGCAACTTCAGGCCCAGTGATCACCAAGCTCATCTTTGCAAAACCAATCAATAGCAAAGCTGTTACAGGGCAGACCACTCAAGTGTCACCGGTCATTGCAGGTTGTACTTACTTGTCTTGTATTGCTTGTTGGTTTTTTTTTTTTTTTTTTTTTTTAAGACTATTCAAAGAGGCGATGGTGGTAGAATTCTTTTTGTATTGGTTTTATTATAGATTTCTCAAGCAACTGGGGGAAAAAAAATCAGTAAAGACTTTGGTAGGTAGAAGCAGATATGGGCAGTGGTTTATTCCCTTACACTTCGTTCATTTACCTGACTGTAGATTTGGGTTATTTTGGTTTTTCTGCAAAATGTTTTACTTTGTGGATTTTGGGGGGAAAGAGAGAGGTGTCTCAGCCTGAGAAAAGACAACTTGATAAACAAAGCATTTATGGCTAACTTACATAAATAAAAAAGAGGGAAGGCAGGCAAATGCTCTTCTATTTCTATAATCTGCTTATGATAGACTTAAATGCGATACATGCAAATAACAAGGGAAACATTTCTGAGAGAACTATCAGTGAAGCTGTTGTTTCTGTTGAATTGCTCAACTGCTTAAGAAATAAGCATTTCAGAAGAGTCTAAGAAGTTAAATGAGGTTAATAAGAAATGGTTTGCCTCTGTGGAAAATAAATCTGGTCCTTTTTTGTCTTACTAAAAAAAAAACAAACCCTCCCAGTGTAAGCTTTTGTTCACTTTGGCAGTGGGACTGATGTCCCTTGATAAAATGCAAATTATCACCAAAGGACAAATGTGGAAAGCTGGAGTTGTTTTCAGAGCTCTGAAGGGATTCTTCAGCTGTTCAAACCCAAGTAGGCCTAAAAGTTCTTCCATGTATTTAAATGAATGTGTTAAGTCTTCATAGGGCTGGGATTTGAGCTGGTTGTAAAAAGAAAGCAACTGTCTCCTGCATTCATCATTTCCACCGTTACATATTTGAATCATAATCCTCTCCTTGTGCTGTCAGACTGGCCCGTGCCCAGCTTTGTGTTGCCAGTGAAACTGGATGTCCCAGTTCCCACTTATTCCTCTTCCTCAGACAGCTCCCCACCAAACATACAGACCTGTAAATAAGATTGCTTTGCTGTGTTTATACACATCTGAATTAAGCTATTTGTGTGTTTAAAAAATGAACTTGGGTGGGAGAAAGCCACTTTGAGAAGCATTACGTTTTTATCTGGCATTACATTTTCACCTGGTGTTACATGAAAATTGACAAGCAGTAAGGAATTAAGGAACCACAGCAGAAATCGTTTTTGCAAGCATATTGTTGCATTTATTTCTGCTACCTCCGGATGGAAGTAAACATACGGATCACAAGGTATCTACGCAGTATTGACAGACAAATATATTACAAAAGAAATAAACTCCTACCTTTAAAATGAATATGCTGGAGAATACACAGTACTTTTCTCTGAGCTTGCAAGAGGCATTACTGGGAGGTGAAGGTGCTTTTCTAAGTGGGAGGAAAAGTCTTTCTAAATGCCTTCCTTTTCTCTTTCCACCTCAACCACCAGTAGTATATTTTGCTGGCTCAGAGAGGCTGGTATTTGAAAAAGGTATTGAATTCTGATTTGCTTATGTGTTTTTTTTTCTGTCTGATAGTATTTTTAATTACTTGGAAATTTTTTCCAGCTGAAGTGAAAATTCTTTATTTGAAAGAATTGTCAGTATAAGCAGCCAGATTCTGTTTAGGAAGCTGATGCTAAGGGCAGTAGAAGAAATGCAGGGAGAAGGGAAAAAACTTACAAGAGACGTAGTGGGGGGAAACAACAATAGAAGTATTGAATACTGAAGAGGGACATTTTTCAGGTTGCGTGTTTAGCAACCAAGTGTGCTGTTACTTTGGCTGCACAAAAATGAAGGTTGCCTTAGAGCACACAGATCTCAGGGCAGCTTTCTGCAAGGGTGGTGTTCCATGTTAGTTGTGTTAAGCATCGTGTCACCAGATGGTTTTGGATCAGAAAGTTACGCTGTTCCTTGTTTGATTTTGATATATACAAAATCAGAATCGGGGGTTGGACTGGATCTCTGGAGGTCCCTTCCAACCCCTACAATTCTGTGATTCTGTGATATACAACAGCAGAGTTGGTGAGAGAAGCTATGATAGAAATACGTCTGAGCCAAAGGGCAGCAGAGGAAAGCTCAGTGGTCAGGCACTCTTTGGAAATCTTTTTAAAAGCATTTTAAAAAAAAAAACCTAAACCTCTGCTGTTGGGGTTTTGCAATGTTGCTGATTTTGTGATTTGGGGCTTTTGATGTTTAAGCTTCTTTGCCATCATAAAAGCAGATTGTATGTGGAGTTACACCTCCACCCTTATTTTCACAAGAGTGTCGTCTATTCTGTAGGCAGTGAAAAAGCCAACCACCAACACAAGCTGAAGGAAAAGGAGGTCACAGTTGAATGTGGAGAGATACAAAGTACTACTTTCATGGTCATATGGAGAGTTTCTGCTCTCAGAGCTGTAAAAAGAGGCACCCACCTCACTCCCCCCCTTCCCAGTTCACACTTTCTTGCACATTGGCAGCAGCCTGGGGACTTCCTAGCAAGCTGCCAGCTGTCAGGGTATTTGTGTAGAGGCCGGGAGTACTGAAGGGCTTTGTGCCTTAGGATGCTGTGCTAGCTCTAAAGACTCAACAGCTGAACATTACAGAAAGATCAATATAACTTTCAGCTTTTTAAAGCCTAAATAAATGTCTTTTTATTTGTAGTAATGCAAATTACTTTCTTGCTGAATCTAACTCAAAAGAATTCTACTGTCCTTTCTGCTAGGTAATGATAGAGAGGATCAGCTGCATGCTAACCAGAGAAAACTTTTGCTTTACAAGTTGTAAACAGTGATAGTTCAGCTGACCATACCTTTCTTGATTATAGGCAGGGTTGTTTCACAATCTACCCCAGGAACACCACCAAAGACAATAACAATCTCTGAGAGTGGAGTTATTGGATCATCTTTGAGTACAGCAACACAACAGACACCGAATAAGATAGCTATCTCTCCACTCAAATCCCCTAACAAGGTAAGAACGCTACTCTGGCCGCAGCTTTCTTGTCTCTGCTGCAAAGGAAGCTCTGTGTCTGCATCTTTGCTGCAAGCTGTCTGTGTTCAGCCACTCGAGTGTCTCCATTGTGAGTCACTATGCTCTGCTCTGCACTAGTGGCCTAAGCTGGATTTTTCAGCTATCTCCTTTAATGTGATTTCAATATGCGTCATGGCATTAATTTACCATTCCTGTCACTTTTTGCCATTCCCTAAGCATCCATTCTGAGAGCAGCTGTTCTCCTCTAGCCAAGTGCTAAAATAGTTTTGTTTGGGGTTTTTTTTTTGTTAACAACTTCTTAAAAATTCACGAGACTGTTCAAGAGGAGATTTCGGTTACTTTATAGGCTAACATTTACCAGCCATTGCCTGGTGTTCCATAGGTAGATAACTTAATCTTGGCTAATCATGACTGTCATAGATGAGTTTGGCAATGATTCTTGACAGAGTGGGACATGGATATAGGCAAACAATTGATAGAAAGGTAACTTGTGCATCATCAGCAGTGTTGCAGACAAGCATTGCAGTGACACTTGTATCTTAGACCTGATAAAATTCCCTTGAGAAGAATAATATTGCCAGAGAAAGGATGAGTCTTAGAGTGGGAACTAAGATATGCAAGCTAAGTACATGAAAACCAATGGGAGAATTAAGTTTTTCTTAGTTTGGATGTGCATTAGCTATGGAATGTTACACAAATGGAACCAAGGACTTTTGTTTCAGAATTATTACTGAGCAAAGCAATATAGGGAAGCTGTAAAATAAATCTTATTCCAAGAATTATCAGAAGAGTGGGACTGAAAAGTCTCATAGTTACCATCTGATTTTACTCGAGACAAATTCTAAGTATCTTTTTTTAAAAAAAAAAAAAAAAGTTTCAAAGCCTGTGAATTTTTTTTTTTTTTAAAACATGAAGGAAATTTTTTAAAAGTAAGTAGAAAACCAACTTTTTATTGGTCAAACTGCAACAGAAGGGCTATGAGTATGTAGAATAGAGTAGTCAAATGACACACTGCAGAAGACTGGATCTTATCAGAATCTGGAAACTTTGAAATTACTGATGAAGTTCTTTTACATTTGGTATGAATTAACAGCATAAAAGTAAGATTATTTTTCTTGTTTCCATCCTTGAAAATTCCCATTGATCATGTAGCCATCATGGTGCCAATTATAAAGCTCTTATTCCAAAAATTCATCCTGACAATGCTATGGCTTCAGTGTGCAGTTTCAAACCAAAACAGGTGCAGTGCTGACTTTCTGCAGGGGCCTTTCTGTGCTGGAAACTGGCAATGCCTTGAAGTTTCTAACCTGTGTATATGCTGTGATTGCACATTCAGGTTGCACAGTGTGAGTTGTGATCAGAGTACGAATCTTCTTCACAGGAAGAACTTGGTGTACAGTGGGAGAACTGTACCTCTCATGATTAGAGGGACGTATATACAGAGGGTCTTGCATACTGCACAGAGATTTAAACTGCTTCTTTGTTTTGCCAAGCAGCTAACAGTGGTGTCAGTGGCCTCCCAGCCTCCCAACTCCCCCCAGAAGACGGTGGGCGTCCCACTGAATGTAGCGTTAGGACAGCAGATCCTCACAGTGCAGCAGTCAGCACCCTCCTCCCCTGGGAAGGCCATAGTCAACCACACAACCACGCAGGTACAGACTGACTTTTGTTTAATTTCTAGCATGTCTGCGTCTCATCTCATCACCTGTGGGAAAATCAGGGTGCTGATCTGCAAGCTGGCAGTGGGCAGTCCCAAGGTGTTCCTGTAAAGGCTTTTGCTTAAGTTGGCAGAGGAATAGGTGGTCCTCCCATGGAGGTAGGCTGGCAATAGCTGACAGCCAAGCATGTAGAAAGCAGGTGTCCAATCTGGAAAAGCCTCACTTGGAGCTAACTCTTGTTTCTGTATATTAAATTTCCCATGTTGTCTTAAAGACATGCTGTGACAGCAGGAAGAATTCTTGATTCTTTTTCACCAGTGAACAGTGCTTCTATGCTACCAAGTAGGGCTGCTTTCTGGGTGTTTCTGAGGCTTGCAATAGTGGAGTTCATATTTTGGTAAAGGTGTGCATGAGCAAAACTCTGTGCTCTGAGACCTGCAGAATTATAAATCAGTTATTCTATTACTAGAAAAATACCAAGGTTCTCCCTATGAATTCTTGTAAGTTGACTTGTGTTAATGAAAGAAGACAGAATTGAGCTTTTTTTACAAACTGCAGTTTGTTTTTTTTATCCCCCCTTTGTCATCTAAGGGGAATCTTTTTCTGACTTAATGTCTGTATTCCTGTTTTGATAAACACAAAGGATGGTGTGCAAGTGTAACACATAATAAGAAAGATGGGTATAACAGGGAGTGGAAACAGTTGTATGCATTGCGAAAGACCCAAAGCTCCAGCAGATGTTAGTAATCTTAGCATTGTTTGTGTTAATAGGAATGGTGATATGGGGACATAAACACCAGCATGATTTGATATTTCAGAGTAAAACTGGCAAGGTTGTTTTAAAAGTTGTTAAAATATGAAATCACTCTTCGCAAGCAATCAAAGTGTCCAATCTGAGATTCCTATGTAGTATGCATATTGAGATGTGATCTAAAGCTATCTGAAGTGTAAGGATTTCTCCTGTCTTCATAGCATTCAAGAACATGCCCTTTGAAGAGCCATCGCTTAAATATTATTTTCCCAGTTTTTCTTGGATGACAATCAGCAATTCATGTGCTAGATGGAACTTTGCCCAAGCTGGTCTCTCTGTAATAACACGCTGTAACTGTGCTTGCAGTCAGTGCTTATTTGCTGTTGCTCTGTGTTGTTGAGATATCAATACATTTAAATATATATGTTCACCGCCTCCCCTCCCTTCCCCCCTCCAAAAAAAAACCTTCTCTAAAAGACTGGACTTCTATTTCCAGTTATGTGTAAATTGAGATTTTATTCCTGTAGGTGCTGACAGCTGGGGTGCTAGGAAAAGGTTCTAAAAATTCATGTAGTTGTACCAAATTTACAGTTGATAGTGATTTATTAATATCATTTTTAGTAGATACTGAGAAAAAAATAGTTGAACTCCAAAAGTAGGCTGAGAACGAGGAAGAAGAATTAACCCATGTTTGAGATCACCAGAAAGGATGGTTAAAAGAGGCTGTTACCAAGTTCATGCAGTCATCAGTGTGTACAAATGTAATGAACTTGATTGTCCTCATTTTGTAGTTTGAGAGAAATTGAGAAGATGGGGTCTTGTGAATTCTAGATGTACTGCTATATCCCAGCTATGAGATAGTGCAAGTCTGCAAAAAAATCCAATTTTCTCCTTCTTGCTTTTATTATTTAGTAAATTATTTTGCTACTCTTCATTGTTCTTGCCTCTTGCCCCAAAATTGCTTTCTCATCTCTTCAGCAATCAATATATGGACTTGGTTCCATTTCTACTTTGGCTGCACGATGATTTGTGTGTATTCATCAAAGTCTGTCCAGCAGGACTTGTCTGTATACAGGGAGGTAAATCATAGTGCAGTCTAGCATGAACAGTTCTGCAAGGAGTTGTCACTGTGAGTTTTTCTATTAGTAGGTATATTTTTGATTCGTTCCCTACTTGATTTTGAGTACCAAGTCCTCTTTAGCTGATGTCTGATTTGGCATACATTGTATCTTGAAAAGCAAACTGATTTGCCTTATTTAGGCAAATGTTATTTACTCAAGCCTTTACAGTAAAGAATTGAAAACTGAGCTTACTTTGCTCCAAGCTTGGAGTGACATTTAATCTGTTCCTCTTACTCCAGAAATCAAAATAGTCAGGAATAACTGATTTGGTTCTCATGAATGCTAATAGATTTCCTCACTAACATATTGAGGAAATAAATATGCTGGTGTTGTTTCTGCCTTAGTAAAAGTAACCTTATACTTCCTTGGTTGATTTAATAGGCTGTGAAATCAGCAGTACAGGCCATTACTGTAGGAGGAGTGGGTACATCTCAATTCAAGACAATTATTCCCTTGGCAACTGCTCCGAATGTTCAGCAGATTCAGGTACCTGGAAGCAAGTTCCATTATGTCAGACTTGTTACTGCCACAACAGCCAATGGCTCAACCCAGTCGGCCAGTCAGAATCCCAGTACGAATACACAGCCTCTCCAGCAGGGTAAGTGCTGGCGCTAATGTGTTATCTGAAGTTTTTCTTCTGTTTTCTAGTTTGCCTGTTGAGGGTTAAATAGTCACGAAATAGAAATCTTTCCAAACTAAGAGATGTACTTGTTTATGTGGTAAACTTTGAAATGTTTCATTTCCTACTGTTAGCTCAGGTTTGTATGTGGAAAGGCCTGTCTGTGACAAGTCAATCTGTAGTTGGGCATGAACCCCTGGAGCTATTTAGGTTGCTTTTGCCTAGATTACTAATTTTTATGTATAACTTCTGGCAAGTCCCACATTTTCATGTTAAAAATGGGAAGCCATGACAGTCCACGTGTATCTTGGCAAAATGCTGCCGTGTTAAAATCCTTCAGTATAAAATGTGTTGGAAGTGCCAAATTTCTCTGCTGGTTTCTGTCCATGCTTTCTAAAGCTGCTATGGAATGAAGATGTCAAAACAAGCTGTGGTTTTGTAGTTTCCTCTTGGCAAAGGGAAATAGAGTCCAGAGGATCTCTGCATCTAAGTTGGTTTTTAAACCATTGCTATGAAACATGTATGTACACTTCTGTAAGTAACTGTTTATATACTATCTAACGCTTCTGTCTAAAAAGCACTGTACTGTAAGTGTGCAGAGATTGTTCTTACATTTGTACATGTGAAAATCTTGAGGTCTCAACTGTGGACTGAGTGAATAATGTGTGTTGATCTGATGTTGTTTTGTTACCAGCAAAGCCAGTGGTGGTAAATGCAACCCCGGTGCGGATGTCTGTTCCCATAGTGCCAGCACAGACTGTGAAACAGGTAAGCTCAGTATAAATGCATGTTACTGACTTGTTTCAAATGGAAGGAAAAGTCCAATTCCAGCAGTCATGAAATGTTCCATTAATACAAATGTATTCTGAAGGAATATTCTTCTTTCATGAAGTCTTACTTTGTTTCCAGGTGGTGCCCAAACCCATCAACCCGACTTCCCAGATAGTTACAACAAGTCAGCCCCAGCAAAGACTAATTATGCCAGCCACTCCACTGCCACAGATACAGCCCAACCTCACTAACCTGCCCCCAGGCACTGTGCTGGCACCAGCACCTGGCACAGGAAATGTTGGCTATGCAGTCCTTCCAGCTCAGTATGTTACACAGGTATGGTCTTAATCCAGAGATAAATAACAAAGCTGTGCTGTTATGGAATGTACTGTTGTCCTTTTGAGAGTTCTTGCTCCTCAGCAAGGTGTAAGGATTAGCTGTATTCTTTCTCAAAATCTAGTCAACACTGACAATTGAAATAAATAAAACCTGCTGCTCAAGGCTGATTAGCCAGCCTTTTCAAACAAGGATTCTACCAGCCTGTGGCATCACTGGTACCAGCCTTAATCTTCGGTTCCATTTTGGTTTTGTTAAAGCTGTAGTTTGTCATTTTAAAAAAAAAAAAAAAAGACTAGTACTTGTGTCCTTCCTATCCACTTCTCTTCAAGTAAATGATACCAACTTCTGCAAACTTCAAAATCTATGTTTACAAACATGTTATTTTCAGAACAGTATAAAAAACACTACAAATCCTATTGAGTGTACTTCAATTTCTTTCATGTTACCCTGTATAATACGTGTAACTTTTGTATTTTTTTAGCTACAGCAATCATCATATGTATCTATAGCAAGCAACACTGGCTTCACTGGGACATCCAGTATCCAGTCCCAAGCGCGGCTACCATTCAATGGGTGAGTATTTTACACAGAGGGATGGGGAGGGAGGGGACAGCAACAAAACCACTGCATACAGGCTGCTGAACTTGCTGCTGCTTTCAGCACTGTTGGGGCGGTGGATTTTTTCTGAATTTTGTGTGGTGTCTAAAGAAATAAAGTATACTGCGTTGAGGTTACCTCCTCTGACTAGAAGAGATACAGCTAGCTAACATTTGAGCTGTTGTCTTGATCAAAGCCCTGCCAGCTCCTGTAGCAGAAAGTTGACCTGAAGGTTCCTCTGGTGCTTGTTCCTCATCTTGCATCAGTTCCTGGGAGCTACAGGCTATTTCTTGACATTGCTAGAAAGACATGCTTAGCAAAACAGAAGCATTTAGCTTAGCACGCACTAAAATCTAACTGAACGGCAAAATGCAACTGAAACCTGAAAAGGGTCATAGCAGTAGGCTTAAAGTTCTCTTCAGTCCTCTATTTTTCTTCAAAAGATGAAAATAACAGCTAACATGGATTATTTTCTCCGTGCTGAGCCAGCTGCCTTAGTTGTTTTGTATTATTGTTTGCTGGAAATTGTGTACACTAAGGTGCTTTTTGATGCTGCAACCTGCTGCAAAAAAATGTGATGCAAACTAATCCCTAATCCAGCTACAGCTATTCAAATGATTGGGTTTGATTTAATCTCCAGAAATGTGCAGTAATTGCTGGATGGGGATTGAATGCATCTCATTCAAAGTGATTAATGACATGAAATCCTAGTTTTTAAGAGCACTTAAAGCCTACATTTGATATAAAATTCACCTTTAAACCTAAGGCAATATTTTGGCTTGCTTGCCCATTGTTTCTGGATTTATTCTTTTTTTATTTTGTTCCAGCTTGTACAGAGATGAAGATGTGATCCTGTTCTATGAACCTTTTTTTGGACCTAGTCCCCTGATATATAGAGAAATTCTAAGGAAACTTTCTCTGATTGCACACTGCAATTAAGGTGTATCCTCTAGCTTTGAACTTCATTCATGCAGACAGACTTGCAGTGAATAACCAGCTCTTTCTGAATTGGAAAAGCACTGTATATAATGGTCGTTTACTGTCAGCCAAAAACCTAATAGAAAGCATGAAGTAGAAAACATGAAGGTTTTTCAGAGTTTGTATTATGACCCACTTACTTGAATTTAAACTAGGAAGAAACTGATCAAACTGTGTGTATAAATAGATGCCTTTTTTTTTTTTTTTTTTCTTCCTATAGAATAATTCCTTCTGAATCTGCAAATCGGCCCCGGAAGCCTTGCAACTGTACAAAGTCTTTATGTTTGAAATTGTAAGTACATGTTGGTTTTTTATCCTTATTTTTGACACTGTATTTATCCCAAGAATCAAAAGATGTTTTTTAAGTATGTAAGAAATGTTACATCTATCTTCTAATGTAAAGTTATTGTTGACATTGATGGGGATGTTGTCATGCATGTGCCATTGTGCAGCTTCTGTGAGCTGTATAGACCCTGCCATGTCATAAACTTCCAACCTTGCACCCTTGTGCTTGATAGAGCTACTTCTGCTCAGCAGCTGGAGTTGTGTTTTTGCTGTTAGTGACATTACATCCAACAGCGTCATCAGTGCGCGCCTGCTGTACTTGAGAAAATCCTATGAAAAATGGTACACAATATGAAGTTCTACAGCAAAATTGGGCTGCTTAGTTTGTTGCTTTTTCTGTTTTGTTATGTTTCAGGAGGGGGAAGCGGTGTTTGTTTTAAACACTCCAATAGGGCTAGTGATTCTTAATAAGTCGAAGGCTTGGTCATCTTCTTAAGATATTTTTTTTTTTTTACTGTTCCATTTAGTGTTTGTAACAAGTTGACACAAAAAAACGTCTTCAGTTTAGAAGTTGGGTTTTTTTTTTTTTTTTAACCTAAGCAGAATCAGTATACAGATTTCTGTACAATAAATATGAGGAGGAAATATTAATCTGTGCTTCCATGAGAGTTAGACAAAGAAGAAAGAAAAATCAGTGGTGTGCTTCTCAAAGGAAAATGATTCAATGGTATCTGAGCCTCCTTTAATAAATTGTTAATTTTTTTTCATTTTGGGCTTGTTTCTGTGTAACAGACCCCACACTGTGTGTTGGGGTGTTCCCTGTGCTTCCTAGTCTCAAAATTGCCTGCTTCATAGGAGGCACGATAAACAGGAAGAGGTTTAGCTGTTCTGTTTACTCTTAGATTTGTTTTACAACATACATGCCTGTTGCCTTCATGGTGCCTGATGTATTTTAGTCTGGCTCCTGAATGCTCTGGAAATTCTGGGACATGCATGAACACAGACTCTCAGCAGAATTAGAATATCAGCTGAATGGGATCAGCAATTTCCATCAACTGTTGTTGGAAGTGGTACTGGGAGGATAGAAGCTTGCCAGAGTTTTTGATGACTGCAAAACATGAGCTGAGGATGAATGTGGTGTGCTTCCATGCATCAGGCCTTTGGGGTGAACCCAGTGGGACCTTGGTTTTGGCAGGAGGTAACACAGGTACATAAGAGACAAAGTAATGTGATAAGTCATTCCAGTCAGTATTTCACTGCTTCTTATTTACATCTTTGTCCCTTTAAAAAGTCTTCAGTAACTACAGTTTTGTCCTCGTTCAGATCCTTTCCATAATTACTTGTGCTTCAGAGCCTATCAGGCGTATCACTTGCTGATCTTCTGTCCCTGCTTTTGCTGACTCTACAACACTTCACAGCTGAAAACAGCCTATAGGCAAAATTAACACACAGGAAAACAAAAAGGCTCACTGCTGTGTTAATGATGTGCATGTTAGTTTGCCTTCTACTTGGTACTCCAATCAGTTGTTCTGTTTTGGCTGTACGGGAGCTCCTGGAGACTGTTTTGAAGTGGCTGGATCAGGTTATGCCTACAAGGTGGCTGGAGCAAAGCAGCTCTTGGTGTAGGACAGTCATCCAAGTAGTGCTGTGGAACAAAAACCTGCTAGCTTCTCCTGCTGCAATGAAGTTTGAGCTTTGCCAACATCAGCTTGAGACAGATACTCTTCGGCTGTATGCCCCCAGTTTGCAAAATAGACCTGCACTGGGAGATTTAGTGTGTGTGAGTGAGGCTTGTACCACTTGTTCATATGGAGCTTGGCATAAGATGACCTAGACCTTTCTAGTCTGGTGACACACACCAATAAAGGTCTGGTGCTGCTATTGGTACTACACCAAGGTAATGGTCATGCTTGTTAATGCTTTCTGTATCTTCCATTTCAGGTATTGTGATTGCTTTGCAAATGGTGAATTCTGCAATAACTGCAACTGTACAAATTGTTACAACAACCTGGACCATGAAAATGATAGACAAAAAGCAATAAAGGTAGGAAGTCTTTTTTTCCTAGTTTTGAGGTTGTTGAAGTGAAGAGCATGTTCCATTCATAAAGAATTTAGCGTGTTTCTGAGCGGAATTGTGATGAGAAAACTGGCTGTGTAGGTTGCCTCTGAATGTAGGGATCAAAGATGTAGCTTGTGCCTTCTGAAGTCAGATGGATGTTTAACTCCCTAATCTCCTCCCACCTGTGCAAGGTGTAAGCTGTTGCATTGCACCTTTGATTTCTGCGCCCTCATATGCAGTGACTGACCCGTTGGGTCTGCATTGACAGGCTTGCCTTGACAGAAACCCTGAAGCCTTCAAGCCCAAAATAGGGAAAGGAAAGGAAGGAGAATCAGATCGGCGGCACAGCAAAGGGTGTAACTGTAAACGCTCGGGATGTCTCAAAAACTACTGTGAGTGTTATGAGGTAAGAAGCATTATGTCACCCTAAAGGCTTCAGCTTTTTCCATTCAGTGCTGCAACTTCACTGTTGGGCTTTGTCTCTTCCTCTTGCTGAAACTCTGCCATAACGGTTTTGGTCAATTTTTCCTACAGACAGTTTATATCTAGAAAGCTTTGTGCATTGCGGAGTTGTTCACTCCTGTCCTGAGCTTCAGTTTAAAACATATAGCAACTCTGAACTCAGGCTTAGATTTGTCCTTAACTGAAGAGTGGTATTTTCTAAAGAACTCTACAAATCTTACAGAAAGAAACATACAGCACCATGTCCCTAGGTGCTCTTTTAGTTATTACAGCATTACACAGGCACTCTAGGATGGATCATGTCTGTGGAAGCCAAACGCAAACTGTGATGCAACACAGTTTGTAGATGCGGGGATAGTTGCAGACTGATCTCTCAAATAGTCTAACTGCTCAATTCTACTGAAAACAGCAGATTGGGGAAAAAAGGACATAAGTGGGAAACTGTTGATTTGCAGCAGATGATGCATAAATTCTGGGAAGGCATCTCACTTCAGTAAGAATTTGAAGAGAAGACGGAGCTGCTTCTAGCAGCTAATTAATAAGAGACTAGAACAAGATGATCCTTCTCCAATGGTTAATCATAAAAAATGTCTAAATTGCAACGGGTTTCTCATCTTCCCTTTGTTTCTTTCAGGCAAAAATCATGTGTTCTTCCATATGCAAATGTGTTGGTTGTAAAAATTTTGAAGAAAGCCCAGAACGAAAGACATTGATGCACTTAGCAGATGCTGCAGAAGTTAGGGTCCAGCAGCAGACTGCTGCAAAGACAAAGTTATCATCCCAGATCTCAGATCTCCTCACGAGGCCAGCACCAGCACTCAGCAGTGGTGGAGGGAAGTAAGTCAATACAGCCCTCAGTTTTGCTTGGTTCTAATGTACTTTTTCTGATGCATGTGACAGGTATGTTCCTGTCATCTTTGAATGTTATCTGCATAAGCTGTAGGACCAGAAGTACTCAGGTGAAGTCTTTTGTCTCCTGTGAAATCTACTGTGTGCAAAGCTTGGCTGTATTCAAGCATGTAGCTAAGCATTGTTTTTTCGTGGTTGTTGTATGCTTCTAGAAAACAGAAATACACATCCAATTACTGAGTGCATATGAACTTCAGGCTGCCTATACAGTAAAAGCTGGATAGTTTTTCTGCATACCTGGGCATCTCAAAATCTGTTTTGCAGCGTACCTCAGTGGCAGCAAGAACAAAGCAGAAATTGCCTGCCTATTCATTTGACTCAAACTGTGGCTTGTAGGCTGCCTGTTGGGGTGAGCGGATGTTTTGTTTTGTTTCAGGCTGCCCTTCACGTTTGTAACCAAGGAGGTAGCCGATGCAACCTGTGAATGCCTTCTGGCACAGGCAGAGCAAGCTGAGAAGATGGGCAAGTCGAAAGCAGCAGCGGAGCGCATGATCCTGGAGGAGTTTGGACGCTGTTTGATGAGAGTTATTAACTCTGCAGGGAAGTCCAAAAGTGACCCTTGTGCCATGAACTGCTGACGCGTGCACATGAGCCACAATGAAGCAAACTGAACAGAACACTTAAGGCACAGGGACACTTTGATTTGGAATAGAGGATTTAGTAACACTTGCCAATTTGGTGCTTGTTTTAATTGACTTGCAGAAGATTAAACAAGGAAATATTTTGTAACAAGATTTAGAGCCTTTTAAGTCTTAGCTAAATTCTCTTCTGCATAAGATAACTCCTAAAGACATTTTTTCTTCTTGATGTACAGCTTTTAACTTGGGTTTCTTAAAGGAAAAAAAGAGTAGGTGTTTTCTTCCCTTTCCCCAAAAATAACTGCCTGAAGGGCATATATAAATTATTATAATATATTATTTACAGTACATAAAGTTGTGTTGCTTTGTGCTGGAAAACAAAGAAAGATACTGAGGCAACAGGCCCACAGTGAGGAGTATATGTGTATCAGTCACTTCTGAAAGGAAATGTATAAAAATCAGCATCTGAATGGGAGGTAGTACCTACACTTGGGACCTGACACGGCGTAATGCTCCCTCATGAGCAGAGCGGTATGAAATTACACAGGCGAGTATATGGTGGTTGCTTGCAGGTTTATTGTCAACAAGTGTTTGGGAACCTCACTAGAGTGGGCCCTAAGGAATTCTGAGGCAATAGAATAATGGAAAATTTTTGAGATGATCATGGGTGAAGACTCAATGTTTTGTTGTTTCTTTGGTTATTTTTAATGGAACTCAGAGGCTAAGATAGTGGTCTGCTCTTAAAAGTGAGGAAGAACAGCCATGTTGCAATGCTACTCTGCCTGTGCAGCAGGCAGATGCTGTTGCTTGAGTGAAGCTTGGTGTTCAGAGCTCTGCAGCAGCTCAATCCTCTCTGCAGGTAGTGCTGTGCAGGCTATTGCATTTTCAAGGATTAAGCTGTTTTGAGCCTGAGTAGGTGAGGGTCAGGAGACAGGAGTGCTACAGTTGTCTTAATGAGGACTCAGGACAATCTGAATCTGAACTGACCTGCAAGTGCAGGAGGAGATATTGTGTTCAGCCTGGTTGTGGGTCTTCATGGTGCTACTTGAAATTGTGGTGGTCTATTTGGCTTTTAAAGATTTTGTTTTGGGTTTGTTGGGTTTTTCTGAGGCCTGTTTAGAATGATGGAGAGCACAGTGATCAGAGAGGATGCTAGCACAGAATCAAGATTGCTGCTAAAACAGATGTGTGGATCCTTTGGCTCAAAAACAAAAAAAAAAAAGGGGGGAGGAAAGTATACCAACAAAACACAAATCAAGGTAGAGCTGTATGTAGAATGGGACAGGAATTTTCCAGTATTTGTTACAGGCAGTCTCAGATCACTTTTTTGATAGTGGAACATCTTTGCAAAATCAATCTCATAGGTTACTTACTAATGTGAATGTCAATAACCATGTTTAATCGCAGGCATTTTTAACAACTCTTTCTGTTCCCTGAACAATGTAGCTAGGTTTTTCCAAAAAGGATTTTTTTTATCTTCATATAAAACTGTAAACACAGAGATGCAGCAGAGCTCTTCCTCCAGGTTTTCTAGCAGAGCCAAATGCCTACTTGTGTGTGAGATGGCAAAAAGATGGAAGAGGCTTCTGCTCCCCCTAGAATGGCTTGGGGGCTCAAAGGACTGGAAGGTGGCCAGCAGCAATGGAAGGCCCGTCAGGTGGCTGTTGGAGATCAGATGTGGACTACTGGTCACTATCAGAATGGCTCTGTCTGGTTTAGTAACATCTCCCTGAGCGTAAACTGCAAGTATATTAGTGCAAATCTCTGAAAAGGGAATCCATCCATCTCTTCTGTAAGTAAGTGTCTGTTTTGTTTTTTTTTCTGTAATTAAGCCTTGGGTTTATTAAAAGTCAGTACAATAACTTCTTACATGTACAAGGGCTGCTCTGAAAGTAATGCCTCCTATTTTATTACGCTAGCTCACAATGTTAGAGGCAGATGGATGTCAGTGGCATGGCAGGAGAGGTTGAACCTTCCTGCCAACATTCTGTTGAGGCAGTCTGATGGAAGGGCATCTGACATGCAGGTACATATGAAGCGAAGGTGTGTCACTGAATTCCTCCGTGCAGAAAAAAATGGCACCCGTTGACATTCACCAACTCTTGCTGAATGTTGATGGAGACCAAGCAGTGGATGTGAGCACAGTGAGGTGGTGGTTGTGTATTTTAACAGTGGCGACTGCGGGTCACCTCTGGTGCAGATTTTTACGAGCATGGCATATGGGCTCTCGTTCATTGCTGGTGAAAACGTGTAGCTGAAAGTGGTGACTGGAAAAGTGTGTTGCAGCTGAGAATTTGCTCTATCAAATACTGTTGCTGTGCTCTTTGTTGCAGTTTACGTGGAAATAAATGAGGCATTACTTCCAGAGCAACCTACATAGTGCAGATATTCAGTTTACTTCTAGTGACCTAATGTAGTACGTCCAGTAAGATTTGTATAAATGTAAATTAGTGTAAGTGAATAAAGTAAAAACTACTTACATTATTTTTCAAACAGATTGCAATATGCCTTCTTTTGTTTAGACTTCAATCCATGTTAATTTTGTATATATTGTGTCTTTCTCTAAATTGCACCTTTTGTGATGTGTATTTATATACAGTGTGCAGAAACTTGTGAAATTTAGATTACAGTTGTAATTATGTATGATGGCATTGCTTGAGAATATTTTGCTTCTAAAGACTTTGAAGGTGCAATCAAAAAGCTCTTAGTTTTTCAATTTTGTTTTGAGCAAGCTTTCTTCAATATTAAGCTGGGATTCTTCTCTTCCCTTTTCACTAGTATAATATGTACGGATTGGGTTTTGTACTTCCTTAGCCATTTGCATCAAACTGCTGGACAAGATTGACAGTCAAGCTCATGCAGTTGTGTGAAAATAATTGGGAATGGGACAAGGGTTCATTTTGTAGTTCTGTTTACATCTGAAAGTAGAAAAACTAAATTTATATTTACTAGACCTATTCAAAGAATACACTTTTCTATATTGTAAAAATAAAAGTCAGATAAATCACAAAGGAAATAAACATTTATACTATTCTGTAAATGTTTAGTACTGCCTTGACTTTCCAATACGTGATTGAATTCTACCAGAGATAAACCATTGGATATTAGTGTACTTTCACACCTTGCCATGCATGGCATGTAACAATGCAGCTAGTGTTCTGGCTCCTGGCACTGTGAGATGGTATCAGGCTGCAAGAGCAGCCCTGGAGATGTGGCAGCAGCTCCAGTAGTGTAGATTGCCAGCATCTGCAGGAGGGGTGAAAAGGATAAAAAGGAGGATGAGCAGAGCTCAGGGAAAGCAAAGAGTTTCATGTGATAACACATGAACTTGAAAATGTATGTGATGACAAGGGTACAATAGAAGACTGAGAGAAGCAGTTATTGTATTGAAGTGATTTGAGTGAGTTTGTATGGATTCCAGAAGTGCAGAGTGCTGGCACGAGTGTGGGTGCTTCAGAGATGGTGAACATCTGCACAGGGAGATGGTGCTGAGAAGAGAGACTGAACAGGCGTGGTGGGGAAAATTCCCTGGCAATAACTGCACTCAGCAGTTCCTCTGAAACCTGGCAGCTCCTGAAGTGTGAGAACAGCTAAAAGCATTTCTGCTGGGCAACAGCTGCTCTGTATTTTTGGAAATGAATGTTTAATTTATACAGGACTCCTGTAACAACTGTCAAGCTTACACTGAATATCAGATGGCTTTCTTAGGTTATCTGGTAACTGCAACTTGTTTTTCTTTGTTCGTTTTCTAATATGTACTTCTTGCTCAGGCCTAATTCTGCTAAACCCTGGGAAACTTCAGCAGTGTTTTGAAAACTCTTTCATCAATATTTAAGTGAAGTGCAGAAGGATGGATGAACTATGTTGGTCATGGGCATCACCGGAGGTCAGAGTCTCACTCACATTTTTTGTCTACGAGCATCCCCTTGGGGAGAAGGCTCAGTCTGTGTCAAGCAAGACAGACTCACTCTGATGTAAACAGGAAGTGGTAGCAGGCAACTATCCAGCCAAAAAAAAAGCAGCAAGGAAGTGCCTGCTCCCCTGTGACTCATCTCATCTTGTGGCTGGAGGTTTAGGCAGTGCAAATATTCTAACTCAAATGAAGTAGCATGCAGCTTAACCAACCATAGGGATTCTGGAAGCATTTTCTATACACATATGTATGAGGGGAGATGTTTTCCTGCAAAATGTATTCTGGCTGAACTGGTTTCGTGGCAGTTAGTGATGGCTTTTTGCATGGGTAATTGGACTGGAGAGCCAGAGAGTTGTGTGGGAAATACTACCCTCCTATTTCCATGGATGCAACCTCTGTTCTGTGTAGCAAAAAGTGAGCAGTGCAATGAATTACACGAAATTCCTGTTGGAGGTAAAACGTGGCACACCAAGGCACCTTCCTCACCACAATACTGAACCAACTGAAGAAACCTGGCCTATAGCTTTGTTCAAGGAAAACAGTGTCTAAGGATGAGACAGACCTGTCTTGCAGCTCAGGGCACAAGACCAGATGGAACACCAGCTCTAGGATGAAGGGTTGTGCTGCACAGTGACTGGGGAGATCTCATGGGGGCCATGTATGGGACCTGAAACACTCCCCATGCTGCAGCACGCGTGTACATAGATGTGTGGTGCTCCTGCACAAGTGATGAAGTAGCACTGCCCTTGTGCCTTGAAGAATGACAAGTGTTTGCTTCACATCCACTACCTCGTTTGTGAGACGCATGGGTTCAACTTTGCAGTTGCTGTAGTCCTCTCTTCACCAAGTTCTAGACTTAAATAGCTTGCATGCCTGGCTCATCAGTTCTATGTACAACTCAAGTCCCATTTTGTTTCCGTATGATTTATTTCCGTTTTTAAGCATTTTCCCTTTAGAGTCTCTTAGTTCCAGCTGATTTAATCACAAGTCTGCTAATGGTAAAATCAAGTTAGCAGCACACCACTCCCCTGCCCCTTGCAAATATGGATGCATCTTTTCTCCTAGCAAGAGCACTCGCAGCACTATGCTAGCCAGCATCAGGAGCAGACACCATGCTGTTCCTTGCCACCTCCCCAGGCATTTAAGCAACTGCTTCCTATCCTGAGTTGCACGAAATATGTGGCTGCTTCAAAGAGTTGCTAGATGGACTTCCTTGCTTTGCCTACTCAAACTTGGGTCAGAACATTCACAGTGTCCCAAGTCATCACTCGTCAACACTAGTTTTGCATGGCAAATCATGGAAAGACACCATGTGGTTTGCTGGGCACCTATTGCATGGATCTGGCCACTGAGCTGGAGGACAGCAATAAATATTCATGATCCTGCATGGGTTTGGCTTGACCAACAGCTACCTAGCTGTGATGGGAATAAATGCTTTCCCTTCACTTTCTTCAATCTGTGCCTGCCACAGTGGTAACTGAAGTTCAATTTTTGGGCTTGGTTTGTTCTGATGTTTAAGTAACACTCTGCTATTCCCTTCACTAAGATTGAGTAGTGATTGTCAGTGTGCAATTCCCCCTCAAATAGGTGCTCAGAAAGGGTAGGGAAGAGGTGATTTTGTCCCAGAAGCTCATGGAAAATTTTCTGTTCTAGAGACAAATAATGTAACTTAGAGTTCTTGTTATCTCCCAGTTGTCTGTGCCTGCTCAGGATTTGTTCAGAAATGTATGCCACGTGGTGCACACTTGCTGAGGGCAGGCTTAGTCCGTGTAACTTCTTGATGTAGAGCACTGCTCCGCACCTTAGCCTGCTCCCTGACTCAAAGAGGGATGCAACACAAGCCTCACATCGCAAGTTGGAGGCTAACTGCTCAGCAACTAAGCCTGCAGCATAGGTGATGCTTTGCTTGTGCAGTGATAGGTCTGTAAGTGCATTGCTCAGAGGAGAGTCACGCAAAAGAAGGCCAGCACAAGGGAGCTCTGCTGCCAGCATCGGCCTATGAGCTGGGTTATACTGAGAACAAATGCTGCCAAGGGTAAGGTCTGTCCTGTGAGACAGGGACAAGTCCAAGCTGCTTATACTTGCTGTGCTGTGCAGAGTGTCTGGCGCCAGGCTGCAGCCAGCCAGCACTTTGCGGTAGGCAGCCTGAAACATGGCACAGGTGGGGTTCCCACTGCCAGCGCTGCAGGCTTGCCGGAGAGCCCAGAGAAACTGCTCCAACGGCTCAAGGCTGAAGGCAGAGGTCAGGAGGCGGTGAGAAGGAGCACCCTCTTGAAGCACAGGGTTGCTGTAAAGCCACTTGAGGCTCTCAGCATTGAGCAAAAAACTCAGAAAGCCCAGTCTGCGTTTGCTCTTAATAATGTATCTCCCTGTAGAGTCTGTTAAGGTAACAAAGAAGCTCTTGGCCTCATGGAAGAGGGGGCTGATTTTGTTGTAATTTCCAGCTAGCAAAGGCCCCTTCAGTCCACTGCAATAGGGACCTCTGCCATGAAATACATCGCACAGACGGCTCATCGTACGCAGAAACTTGACTGTACCACCACAGTTCTGAAATGAGGCCAGGCCCAGCTTCTGGAGGTGCTCCAGTGCATCAGCAACGCCGTCACTGAACAACTGGGCAGCAAGGTTAACCTTTAGCTGGCAAGTCTCTTTGCTCTCTGGATGGCCTGATGTGGGCCCTAACAGCTTTTTCTCCTGTAAAGTTGCCAGCTCCACCACATGCTGCCACTGCACAGTGTCACTGAGCCACTGTATCTTCTGGGAGTATTGCAGTGTGTTCCTTATCAACCGGAGAGCGTGACAAACATCAAAGAAGTATGCAATGCAGTGAGTGGAGCTGGGCGGGTGATGGAAAGCACAGCGGATCCTTTGGGGGTTCATCCTGACCCCCAGAGCTCTCGCCGTCTCAGCCCCGCACGCGGTGGCACCCGATGTCACGGCCAGCACTGTGACACCAATGTTGTTCAGTTTACTGATGGCCTGACGAAGCAGCTGAGCCAGCAGGCAACCAGTCACGCTGCTCACAAAGAAGTAGCCGAGGGGAGCCCTCCAAGGGCTTGAGATACCGGCTGCCATGACAACTACCACTTCTGAGGCCAGCGGAGCTTCATCAGCATCAAGGCTGCCTGCTCCCAAGTCAATAAAGCCAGTCAGGTGCTGGGTCTGCTGGTCCCACTCCTGGCTCTTCTGCAGGGACACATCCTGTACCATCAGGGTACAGTAGCAGTAGGCCTGTTCCCCTCTCTCCACCTTTTCTTGAAGCTGGAGGAACATATCATTGCTGAAGCCTGGAGCTGCAGCATCATTAGACAGCCAGCTGGAAAAAAAAAGGAGCATGTAGTTAGAGGATGTGCTTCTGAGAAAACTGAAGCAACAGCCAGCACAGTTCACCACTTTATAAAAACTTTATCAGGCACGTAAAGAGCTGCAATGCAGACCCAGCCAACCAGCACACAGTGAACTGAAACACGTGTTTCTTTCTTGCAGCCCAGTGATGGAAAGTCAAACAAAAATTTCAGTGTGGAAATAACAGTGGGTTCCTGCCTCTAAAGTGGAGATTAGGACAACAGAAAAAGGAAACTGAGCAGAGTACAATGGAGCACTGCAATGGCCCAGCAAAGCCAAGCTTATCTCCACAGCACGTGCTTTCTCCATGCTGCAAACCTTTAGCTGGTTGAGAAGATCTGGAGCTTAATCCTACTCTGCTCAGTCCATCCTGTTCTCTGGCCCCCCTTAGGGCAGGGTCTGTGGAGATGCCAGGGACTTTCTTCAACTTTTATGTTGTGCACTGTTACTTCACCCCTTGCTAATGCCTCTGGCAGCACTACAGGTTATGGATTCTCAGCCCATGCACTTATTTGCAAAGAGTTATGCAACACAGTTGTATGTTTTGGAAATGTCTCCCATAAATTAAAATCAGACGCTTCCAAATTCTCAGCTACTTCCCTCAATCCTCATGTGGCAAAGTAAGAAAACCCAAGCCCCCATCCTGTCTGCTTGGTGTACTCCTTCCCTTCTTCAAGTTTTCTTCGTCTCCTCCTTTTTCCAAAAACTAGTCCCCAGTTTTTTACGTTAAATGTTACTGCTTTCTATGGATGCAGCCCTGTCCAACTCTCTGGCTGTTGGAGCAGTACAGCAGGTGCTTGCTTAGCTCTTGCTTCTATTTAAGGGCCATTACTCACAGTTCTCTTCCTGCCTATAAGTGGCAAATCCCTCCCTTCTCTCATGTCTACGCTCTGAATTCTAAGAGCACGGATTGAACAGTATTTCCGTGCCTGTGTGTCAAAGTGGGATCAGAGGACCTCAGCCTTTCTGTGGTCCTTTGTTTCTGCTACACCACGTACATCCCCTACAGCACCCGAGGTCCTTAAATTAAGCCTCTGTCACATCAATACAGGGGGGAGAGCTCTTTGGAGCTCAGCAGGTTCCCTGGAATTGTTCATGCAGGGGTTGTGCCATGTACACAACCCCTCACCAAGCACACGGAGGGGCTGGGGGCAGACTTGCTTGGTCAGGCTGGCGGGATGCGGCAGGGGGAAAACCTTCCTCAGCTGCTCGTAGGCGGCGCGGTGGCGGAGGTGCAGCAGGCAGGCGAACTGTCTCATGGCAGGGCAATACTCGGCGGGCCGCCTCCAGCGCCGGGCACCACGGGGCAGATCTGCTCACAAACACAACACCGAGAGCGCGGGCAGCAAGGAGCCGGTGGGGGGCAGCCGGGAGCGGGGCTGGGCCCTACCTGGAAACAGCGCCCGCAGCACCCGCAGCGCGGCCCGCGGCAACCCGCGGCGCGCCGCCAGCTTCCGGACGGGCCCGCAGAGGCGGCGGGGGCCGGCGGCGGGCGAGGCCGGCCCTGCCCCGCTGCGGCTGTACGTGTGGTCCTGGCTCCGCAGCGCGCTCCGCAACGGCACTTTTCGCGGGTGGCCGCGGGGCGGCTCCTAGGGCGGAACGGCGGCCGTTAGCGGCGGCTGGAGGTAGTTAGCGGCGGTCGGGAGCCGTCACAACCCCTCTCCCTCAACGCACCGCCAGGGGGAAGCGGGACGGCACGGCCCCCCGCCGCAGCTTGCGCCGCAGCCCGTAGCGCTCGAAGTCGGCCTCGGCGAAGTGCCGCGAGCAGAGGATGGCCCCCGGCCCGGGGCTCCAGGCACGCCGGCTTCGCGGGTCCAGCCGGTTGACGGCGCGGATCCACTCGCGGCGCTGCGCGGCGTCCACCGGGAACCTGCGGGTGGAGAGGGGTCGGCAGGGCGGGAAGCGCCGGAGGCTGCGACCCGCCGCTCGCACTCACTGGTGGAAGGAGATGCCGCGCTCCCGGCTCCGCCCGTTGTCGCGAGCGCTGCAGCCCAGCGCCGAGCAGCTCCGCGTCATGGCGGCCTCATCGCGCGCCGTCGCCCCGCGCTCATTGGACGTCTCTTCCCGCCCGCCCTCCTGTTCTTTATCGCTATTGGCACTTCTGCTTTTCCCCCGGAAGTGGAATTGGAGAGAGGCGCCGCACTTCCGCCTCGCTGCGACGTACACGCAGCAGGGAAACGTCTCGGGGACCAATCAGCGGCGCCTGTGGGGAACAAAGCAACCAATGGTGAGCGGTGATTCTCGCGACCAATAGCGGTGCCGCTTCCGCCTCCTTTATATGGCGGAGCGAGGAGCGGGAGCTCTTCTTCCCGCCGCGCGGTGCGGCTGTCTGGTAGTGGCTGTGAGGCTGAGCGATGCCCGGCGGCAGGGCCGTGGTCGACGGGCGCTCGGCCCCGCGGCACCATAAGGTTGACGCATCGCTTTCTCCCAGCGCGGTGCTCGCCTCTTGAACAGCGTGGGGGACGCAGCCGGCTGCCCGGCTCGCGGCGAGAGGCTAGCTGCGCCCTCTCTGAGTTTAAAGTAAGAAAATGACCGTCAGAAAGGGGCGCCCTGGGCGCGGGGCGGGGTCCCGTCCGGTGATGAACCTCAGTGCTGTTCACATCCTGACACGCCGTGACGAGCGCTGTCGAACTGAGGACGGGCGGCCCTACTACCCCCGCACGGTGGTTCCGGGCCCGTCTCCGGCCCTCCTGATCTCCGTCTCTCCCTTCTCCCTAGGTCCCGGCCCTGAGCGAAGCCCGCGGGAGGCCCGCACCCCTCCGCCCCGGGTTGGGAGAAACGAAGCCCCGCCCGCTGCCGCCCGGAAGGCGCCGGGAGCGCCCGGAAGCGGGAGGCGGCGCCGCGGCTGCCACGTTGGAGCGGGCCGGGAGTGGGTGAACGCCGGGCCGGGACTGGAGTGCGGGTAGAGTTCTCGGTCATTGGGGTTTTTAGCCTCATTTCTTGTCCGAAATGAGGAGTGCGTGCCCGCCGGTAGCCGCTCGCTTATTGGGCTCGAGGCCACCCCCAGCCCGAAGGGTCGTTCTGAGGAAAAAGTCTCCGTTCTGAGGGGAAGGGTGCCTTCTCGTCTCTTCCTGCGTTTAATCGTTGTTTTTATCTTTTCAGCAAAATGAAGCTGAAAGAGATTGACCTCACTGCCATGCAGGCATGGAGTCCTGCCCAGCAGCACCCCATTTACCTGGCCACTGGTGAGTTTTGGGTCGCTGCTGCCAAGCTGTCAGCTTGTGCTTGGAAGACTAGATATCGTTGTACAGTTCCTCTGGGGCACGGGAAGGCTGACACTCCTAGAGCTTTCCTTGTTGATACTGGTGAAGAAACTCCCCTGCAGGGATCTGTGGATAGAATTGCATAGAAACACTCCTAAATAATTAATTGGAAAAACTGATTCTGTCTCAGGGTCCTTTTTGCAAGGACAATGGTTTTAATGTCCCCTTTTGTGCCGATCTGCTGTGCAACATCTCTTCCTCATTGGTAATCATGTTCCTTTGCAGGCACATCAGCCCAGCAGTTGGATGCAAGTTTCAGCACAAATGCTTCCCTGGAAATATTTGAGTTGGACTTATCAGACCCTTCACTGGACATGAAGTCGTGTGCCGTCATTTCTTCCTCTCACAGGTAGCAGTGGGGCTGTAAGCAAGCAGTAATGGGGGCTGCTGTGTATGGTATGTGCCGAAAGACCAATGCATGGTGTTTGACTGCAGCTGTTCAGTAGAGTGGCACCTGGGTGCTCCCGCTATTGGGGACAGCTCAAGTGTTATTGTGGAGACAATAAACTGGGACTCTCAGGTGCTGCAGGCTGCTTGTGCGCTCCCTGAACTTCACTGTGATGTTAGCTGGGAGGTGTGAATGTGTCTTCTGACTCCAGGGAACCCCTGGCATTCCTCAGAAAACAGAAAGAAAGATGTAACTGTGGAAGCAATCAATTTTTCAAACTGGCACATCTAGTTGGGCATGTAGGTGATTTGAGGTCATTAATCTGTTGTGGCAAACTGGGTCCTGTCTTATGTATGGTGTCATACATCTCTGTGCATCTCAGAAGCCATGCTCCTGCCCTCACAGCTTTGGGTAGTTTTCAGCTCTTTACCCTGCGCTCCTCTGAAGCAATGCTGCTCTCATCTAAGTGCCACGTGTCCTCTTGCACAGTGCTTGCAGTAGCTCTCTAGTAGCCACAGCAGTGGTTGCTACACATCACAGTGGAAGTGCGTGATAAGTAGAGACAGGGGTGACTATTTTCATCACTTGGAGCAGATCCATGACTTTTTCATACGAGCTTCAGGGGTAGCATAACCAATTGTGGTGAGCCGAAACTGTGAGCGAAGCTGCAGGCAGTTACAGCAATTCCCTGGTATGTCCGAGTGACCTCTTGGTACTCACAGAGAAGCAACTGCTATCTCCCACACCTCTGATAAGAGTGGAAATAACTTTACCTTCATTCTCTATTATCCACTTCACATCAGTAATTTCAAGACCTAACAGTATCAGACAGTTTTACCTAATGCAATTTCCTGGGTTTGTAGAAGTAAGCAGATGCAGAGGGATTGAAACGAGGACTGTCTTTGTACACAGTGAGGCTGTGGCTCTGTTTACAGATGCCTTTCTGATTTGAGTAAACGGCTGTTGCAGTGGCTTTGCAAGAGGAAACACAGAGTGTTATGCTCCTGGCTTTAACCTGTGCCATCTCTGTAGCGATAAAATTCCCCTGGCTGCTGCTGGGCCTTGCCCATCACTGCCCTGCAGTCATTGCTTTTGTAATATGTGGGGAGGTGAGGAAGAGCCAGCAGAGCCACAGACTGTGCCTGAAGGCCTGAGCTGTGGGCAGAACTGCTGTTAATGCTCTTTACTGATCCACTGAGGGCGGAGTGAGGAGTTGGAAGCTGGAAATTTTCCTTTTCTAACCCTTTTGAAATACAACTGATACTTTTCAGACCTTGCCGACTGGCATTTGCTTTACTGACTTTTCAAAACACACTTCTTACAGCCAGCATGCTATGCTTCTTTATGAGTGCTTCCTTCAGTGAATGTTTGACTTTGTCCCCAGAAAACAATTTACAAATTAAAATGGCTGGGTGGAGAAATACACAAAAGATGAATCTGGTAACAGGTTCTGTTGTCCTATGGAAAATTTCTGGCTGCTGTTAATAGAACCATATCTTGGAAAGAGCAAAGTTGCAAAAGCAAAATGATTGCATGATTGATTCCAGTTTTTGTTCCTCAGCCTTTTCTGCTTTCTTTTAGGATACTTAAGACCTGTTGAATGTTACTGATAATATGATAGTACTAATTCTCTGACAACCTGTTGATCGCTCTATTTCTTCTACCCTTGCATAGATACATGCAGAATTACAGAAGTCAGGGTACGTAGAGAAAGGGTTTACCTGATATCGTAAAGTAGCTCATCAACGCTTTGCAGTCAATGTAGGTTTGCTTTCTGCTTGCATAACACCTGTGATGTGATAGTATGTTGTTAATTTGGAAGAAAACCATGCTTTACATGGTTGAACACCCAAGAATGCTGTCTTGCTTATTCAACAAGTTTGAGCTGAAGGAAATATGTGTGGGTTGTTTTTTTTTTGTTGTTGTTTTTTTTTGTGCAGTGACACAGAGGCTTGAAAGCGTTTCTGGTGTATTTGATTCCTCTGATTCAGCTTGGGAAATAGGTAGCAGTCCAAGTGACGCATTTCTGATGTAAGTCATTTGCTGAGCATCTATGCTACAGATGGAATATTTGCACTTCCAGGAGCACTGATGAGGGAAAGGTTTTGGAATTCTTTTCCAGCTCCATCTTTTTTTTTTTCTCCCTTGTACAGACAGCTGCCTACAGATAGCAGAGGCTCACATGCAGGCTTATGGCTCATATTATGGTGATGGATGGCTGCAGCCTGTGTCTGTCTGTCTTGCAGGTACCACAAACTGATCTGGGGGCCGCACAGCATGACTGCAGGTGAGAGCGTCTCTGGAGTCCTGATTGCTGGGGGTGAGAATGGGAATGTCATTCTGTATGACCCAGCCAAAATCTTACTTGGAAACAGTGAAGCAATAATTGCTCAGAAAGACAAGCACACAGGACCAGTGAGAGCACTTGATGTCAACATGTTTCAGGTGAGTTTTCAGTTGTTTATCATGTGCAATCGTGGATGATGAGTGGCCTGTTTTAAGAGATTGTTGCCATAAGTGTACGTGTATCTTTCTGTGGTCCTGACAATGATGACTCTGCGACATGATTTAGCAGAGGGTCGTTAGTTAGGGTAGTGTGGTTAGGTCGTGGTCGGACTTGTTGATCTTTAAGATCTTTTCCAACTTGAGTGATTCTATGATTCTGTGACTTAAATCTGACCTTTGTCTGTATTTATTAGGAAAAGTCTGTCCTATTGCTGCCATCTTAGCATGAGGGACGAAAAAGTTGGAGATGGCCAGATAATCGTTTTCCCTTGTCAGCTGATGTTGTCAATTTATCATGTGACTTTAGCTGTACTTCAGTAGAGGTGGTTTTCTGTGTTGTTTTAGTCAGTCTTCATTTTTAGTTCCCATAGGCTGTGCATATATTGTTCTTATCACACAAAATATTTCTGTGCTTTTGTTCTAGCTTCTGGTGTTACTGTATTTTAGATTTGTATGTCCTGTGGAAGTGGAGTAAGCCTATTAGCAGCTCAAAATATTGTCACTTGAAGTAGGGAGTCAGAGCAAATACACTGTGGTGTGGTGTCTTGAGGCAGAAGAACTCAAGATCAGCAAGCTTTTCTCACTTGCTGATGAGAGTTTAGTTCCTCCTAGATACCAGGGTCAGTTTTTTCTCAGCCCTCACCAGCTGCATGAGAACTGAGTTGATTTTGTTCCTAAATAACACTTCTGTCTATGCGCAGTTACTTCTAGCAAGGCCACCCTTTGTTCATTGTGTCTTCTCTGAAAAGCTTCCTCTCTCTTTCTATGACTCTTATGAAGTCAGGATTTGCACATCAGTGGCCGTAGGATGCAATCAAAGGGTGCTCAATGCCACTAACCCACATCACACCGCCTGGACGTTTTCGTCATGGCCGCAGGATTGGGCTGGAGGCCCAAGTGCCACATTCTCTCCAGCCAGCTCTGCCCTGAGGCAGAGTGCTGCAGCGGGGAAGCTGCAGAGCTGCTTCTCTATCTGCTCCATCCTAGAAATGTCAGCGCCGGGCCCTCTGTGCCTGTAGCTTCCTCACATGCTCCTCCACTGCGTGGCAGACACTCAGTGAAACAGAAATCCTGTTCATAGCACTGTTTTGATTTAGTGTAGGGATTTCTTTTGCTTACTCAGCATTATCTTCAATCTCCAATGTTACTGCTTTTCCCTTAAGCCGCTCTGTGTGAAGTGAAGGCTGTATCCTGAGCTTGTATGAGAAATTGGCATGGATTTGTCCATCTGATGCCTTCCAGAAGCTCAGACTGCGAAAGCTGGTGCTGAAAATAGTCTTAGCGCCTTCTAATGTGTCTTACAGACTAATCTGGTGGCCTCTGGTGCTAATGAGTCTGAAATCTATATCTGGGACTTGAATAATTTCGCCACACCGATGACTCCAGGAGCGAAGACTCAGGTACTAGATCAGTATTCATGAAATGCTGCAGAGTAAACTAATGAAAAATGTGAATGTTTACTTAGGTTGTGAGCTCGTTAAAACCGACAGCTTTGAAGCTGTCTGGGGGAGGGAGGGGAAGTTCAATTTTAACTTGATTAGCTGTTAATTGCAATTAGCAGTGAGCTGCATTTCTGGTAATATTAGTTACAGTCCTTGTGATAAAGCAAATATTTTCATATTAATATAAGTAAAACCAAGTTCTTTTGCTGCATATTGTTCTTGAGCAGCTGTAGTTTGTTTTTATATGGTCATTTTGAAGGAAGCTTGCTTTTGTTAAGGATTCCTGTACAGGATTTTCTGTTTTGAGTGGTCTGTTTTTAAGCTGTGCAATCTTTTAGTCCATGTGCTTATTGACATTTTGGAATGCAGTGCAACAAGAAGGGCTGGGTTAACATTGCTTTTCCGTGCTGTGGGGAGGAAGCAGAAAAAGCTAACAAACTTTCTCCACTCCTTGAGACCTCATTTTGGAAAGGGTGTGACAGGCTGTGCTGTTTGTGTGACAGCCTCTTGAGGACATCAGCTGTATTGCATGGAACAGACAAGTCCAGCACATCCTGGCCTCTGCCAGCCCCAGCGGACGAGCTACTGTGTGGGATCTCAGGAAGAACGAACCCATCATCAAAGTCAGTGACCACAACAACCGGGTGAGTTAGCTCTGGCACAGCTGCATGGATCCTTACAGGGAAGTGCTTGCGTGTCACTGGCACAGCTTGATAAGGATGGGTCTTGGTGATGGAACACCACAGAACAGTTTTACCCGTGAGCTGATTGCCCCTACTCCCGTATGCTTAAAGCCATCACACCTTCTCCCAAGCTGTCAATAGAGAAAAGAGCCTGTTTAGCTTGTGGAGAGTGAAATGTTTTTCTGATTTGTATAAGTGACTATTGCTGTAAAAACACTGAAGATGTAATGAGTTCAGGATGAAATTTACATGTGTGCTTCTGAATTAGCTGCTTGGTCACTGCGCTCCTGCTCAGATAAGTTTCCTAATTTCATATTTTATGTATCTGTTCCTTGACATAATAGCAGTACAGTAAGCTGTTTTCCTTGTTTAATTATAATGCTGTGATGGAATGTTCATGTGATAAGCTCTGCGATGGCTTCTATTAAAATACCAATAAATACTAAAGTAGTGGAAAAGACTCTGTACAACTGCTTTTACAGTATTCTTGGATTAAAACAGTTATGAACAAGAGAGCCTTCAGAACCTCACACCAAGTCTCGCTCATGGAGTTGAGGACAGTATCCCAATCTGAGTGCAGTCAGAAGCAATGTCCAGAAGTACAGCTGCAAATTGGCATCTTCCTTGAGACTCTGTTTTCCTTGCAAATCTATCTAGACTGCAGGCTTCTATCCTTTAGCACTGTATGGTTATCCTGTGCTGTGGCACAATGTTATCTTTCAGATGCACTGTTCAGGCCTGGCCTGGCACCCCGATGTTGCTACCCAGATGGTTTTGGCTTCAGAGGACGACAGGTTACCTGTGATTCAGATGTGGGACCTTAGATTTACCTCCTCACCACTGCGTGTTTTGGAAAGCCATACGAGGTACAAGACTCCTGCAGTCTGCTGCTCTGTAATGTTCACTGTGTTGATGACTATAGCAGTTAGTACATCTCACTTTTTGCGTAGTTTCCTGTGAATGATTGCTTAGTTGAAGCCACTTTCCAGCAGCAAGCAGTGTTGGATACTGCTGGGTGGAAGGGAATGGGCCTCCCATTAAAAATAAATTCCCCTTTAACAAAAGTTTCTGGTTTGTTTCTATTCTGTTTGTGTATGGGAACTGCTGAGTCACGGCCTGAACCTCTGATTGATCACCTGAGGCGAGCCATGAGTCAGCCACAGGAGCACAGGTGAAGGTAATTCACCTGTGCTGCCAGAAGGGGTGGAGCCAGGCTCCAGCCCTCCTAGACCTATTTAAGAGCTGGCTACCAGAGGGGAAGGATCTCCTCTGGAGATCATCTCTGCTGGTGTTTTGTGAGTGAGCCCAGGGTAGGGGTAAGCCTTCTATTTATTCTCTTTTTGTTATCATTATCTGCTTTGCCAAACTCTTTTGTTTATTTTGTAATTACAACATCTTAATATTCTTTGATTATACAGTTTGAAAGGCAGCTGGATTGCAGGGTTAGCAGTAGCCTGGTTTACATAAAGAGCAACAGTGTCTGTGTTGCAGCTATCACCAAAACTGCTGCCAGTGGCTCAGCTGATACAAATCTACTGCTAATAAAAAACTGTGAGACTTGATAGCTGCTGTTCCTACCTATTGGTTTGCATAAAATGTGTTAATGATGCTATAGGCAATTGAACCATTTGAGTGGATTGAGTGGATTTGCATATGGAAGTGTTGAATTTAATTTTCATATATAGTGGCTGTACCTTTACAGCTCGTCACGCAAAAGATAGAAAGCATCTTTTCCAATATATCAAATGCTGATGACATTGAGAACTCTTGTGCTTCCCACTCCTTCCTCTGTTAGGACATTTTGGCATAGACTGCTCAGCTACTGTAGCAACTTGCTTACAATGGCGCTTTATCACCATTTTGCATTTATATTAACCTGTTACTTGTTGTGACTTCTCACACAGGGGTATACTGGCCATTGCTTGGAGTATGGCAGATTCAGAGCTGCTACTGAGCTGTGGGAAGGATGCCAAAATACTATGTTCAAACCCTAACACAGGCGAGGTACTGTATGCACACTGCTTACTAAAACCTGTTTGTTTGGAGTTGTCATGGTGTTATGTAAAGTAGTAGTTTAAGAGCAGTTGATCTTTTTTCAATTGCTTTCACTAATTTTTGCAGTGCAGACTTCTTGCTGGCTGTGTGGGCAAGGTAATTCTGTGGGACGGGGAGAGGTGTTGTCAAAATTCAGGCTTGGCTGCAGAAGTGCAAAAGCTGTGCAAGGCAAAAGGTGGGGTGGCAGATGTGTGATCCAAGCTGGATTCTGAGCTGGGAAGCTCTACATTTGGACGACTCATACTGCATATTTTGATTTAAAATAAAAGCATTTTCCTGGGAGACAGCAAGGCAGCTGCCACTTGATCCCTTCAGCAAAAATTTATTAGGCGAGCAAAGAAAAATTTCTTTCTTCGTGGTTAAATGTCTCTTGTAGCAGTGAACTTGTCTGTTCTGGGCCAGGAGAAACTGCTGGGAACACAAGTTTTAACTTTCCCAGTTATCCCCCAGAACAGACTGCCTTTGGAGCCTGGGTGTGTTCCCATGTTTTCTGCATGAGTTAGCATGACTTCTAGCAGCTCACTGCAATGCACAGAGAGCCACGTCAGTAGCTGTACACACAGCACAGACATACACTGTCTGCTTAGCTGATCGTGTGTAGAATAAACAGAAAAATCAATGGGAATAAGAGATAAAGCAGTGGTGTGTGGTGTTGGATTGTCACATCCTACTCACTGTATGTGGGGGTGTTGGGGAGCAAGAAGAGCAGCTTCATCTCACATGCGGGAAAGTTGTTGCTGCTGCTCATGGTATTTCATATATGCTCTGATGTGCTGGACTTGTTTTTGCTGCTCAGGTGCTGTATGAGTTGCCCACAAACATGCAGTGGTGCTTTGATATCCAGTGGTGTCCCAGAAACCCTGCCATCTTCTCTGCAGCTTCGTTCGATGGACGGATCAGCATTTACTCCATCATGGGAGGCAGCACAGATGGTTTGAGGCAGAAGCACGTTGACCAGGTATTCAGAAGCATGCAGCTAAGAAAGTGGTTAGGAAGAGGATAAAGCATGGGTTTGTGGGTAGCCTTTGGAAGACCAAATGTATGGTTGCAGGAGTACTAATCTGCTGTTGAAAACAAGGAATAGTTCACTTTACTGGAGATGATGTCTAACTCTAGTTTTTTTTCTATCCCCTTTTATTTCCAAAGCTTTCGTCCTCATTTGGGAACCTTGATCCATTTGGTACAGGGCAGCCTCTCCCACCCCTGCAGCTTCCCCAGCAGACTGCACCACAGAGTGTTGTTCTACCCCTAAAGAAACCCCCCAAGTGGATCCGGCGACCTGTGGGAGCGTCGTTTTCAGTGAGTAGGGATCACGGCTGCCCACACAGGAGAGAGATGGTAGTGCCTGCAAAGCACATCTGAAAGAGGGGAACTTGTGCTCCACCTCATGAGAGTGTGCCCTGTGTGCTGGGGTAATGGGAGATGCTCACAATAGGCATCTGGAGTGGGCACTTGGGACAGCATGCCAGCAAAAGCATGACAAAAATGTTTGGAGAAAGAAATCGAGAGGTATTGTGTTGCCCACAGGCACTTCTTTCTGTTCTGGAACTTGTATGGTGTTTGCTTTGAAGAAACCAATATATTATTGGAGGGGACATGTTGAGCAGCTAGCTGAGATTTCAGTGCAATTTGTAGGCATTATGTGGTTCATTGTGGAGAAAGGTAACAAGGTAAGCTCTGATGGAAGGTAGTGGGAGCCCCTGAAACAGCACACAGGCCCAGGCTCCTTTCTGGTTGTCGAAGTTGCAGAGAAGCTGTATGAGAAGCAGGCAAGGCCCTGCTTTTCATGAAAGCAGAGTCACTTGCTCTTCAGCTCCAACTGTGCCTTGCTTTCTTGACTCTGAGGCTGTTTCCCAGGAGAACTCATGAGGATTTTTAGGCAGGCAGTCTACTTGAAATGGATTTCTGTGCCAAAATACTGCCTTTATTTTCATTAGCGTGTCTGCTTATTCATCATCTCATCCACAAATTAAATGCAGCTTTTCTCCTATCAAATAGAAGCAACATGGCCTAGTCACTAACTGATGTATCATTTTGTAACAGTTTATTTCCTTGTCCTAGTGTTCTAGCTTGTCAGCCTTTTTCTTGGCCTTGCTTTTTGTAATGCTCACTTTGGTCTGGCCTATGTCAGTTAACTTTAAGCTATCAAATGAAATAATATTACAAGCACCATTTAATGTGCTTTTTCTCTTCCCTGCTTTGGCAGGGGGGTTGGACTCGATCTCTGGAGGTCCCTTCCAACCCCTACAATTCTGTGATTCCTTTCTGTTTATTTTATTTCTTTCTAAATGTTGATTCAATTCACTGCCCATCTCTCAGTACTTTGAATTTGCAAACAAGCTGCTGTAAGTAGGCTGCACGTGATATTTGAGCATCTATTTAATGATGCATAGGGCTTTTTAGTGTGTTGTAGGTTAATGCTGGTAAGTCCCTGAGCCTCTTGTACCTGTTCACTGGCTCTCCTGCAATTGGAATGGGATGCAGGATCAAAAGGATAAAAGTGAGGAAACTCATGAATTGAGATAAAGACAGTTTAATAGGTAAAGCAAAAGCTGCACGTGGAAGCAAAAGAGAAAGAGGAGTTCATTCACCCCTTCCTACTGGCATGCAGATGTTTAGGCGTTGGGGAAGCAGGACTTTATCACGCATAATGGATATTTGTGAAGAGAAATGCCATAACTCAGAACGTCCCTCCACTCCTTCCTGGAAGGGGAGCTGGAGAAACAGGAGGCTCTGATGTGTTGTAACTGTCATCTGGCAACAGCTAAAATAGGGGTGTGGTATCAATGCTATTTTGATTGCAAGTCCAAAACATAGCATTACATGGGCTGCAGTGAATAAAATTAGCTGCTGCCACAGCCTGTACAACACTGTTGTAACACGAGGTACTCACAGACCCGTTTCTCAGGACTCTCACATGCTTATCCAGCAAGCTGCTTTATTGCATGAAAACTTGAGATGGTGGAAAAAAAAAAAAATCAACAATCTGATGTTAGAACTGTTTGTTGGTTGAATGATGCGTGTTTATGTACCAAATAAAAACTCATGCATGTGTAGGTATGCATAGTTTTTTCACATCTACCCAAGCATGTACTTGCATTTTCACGTGCTGTACTTGTCTTCATTCCAGTTTGGAGGCAAGCTGGTTACATTTGAAAATGTCAAGCCTCAACAACAGCCAGGCATCGACCAACAGCCGCAGCATCACTATGTCTATGTGAGTCAGGTTGTTACAGAGAAGGAATTCCTGGCACGATCGACCCAGCTGCAGGAGGCTGTGCAGTCCGAAGGCTTTGTCGGCTACTGCCAGAAGAAAATTGACATGGCCCAGGCTGACTTTGAGAGAAACGTGTGGGCCTTCTTAAAGGTAATGGTGAGAGCAGTCCAGGAGTTCTTCATTGACAGGAAAAGCCGTTGAAGTAAGGATTTCTCCTCCACATTAAAGTGTTTTAGTAGAAGAGATGTTGGGAATGATGAGTGTGGACTCTGGTGCCCATAAGCTCTTTTAGTATGGGTGGCCCAACAGAAGAATGGGGGTTCCTTGGGGCCTGGAGTCTTCATAGGGCCTCGTAGGTGATCATGAGAGCAACTAGGACTTGGAGAAGGCATCCTCTGTTTTTGTTATTCCCTTTCATTGCATCTTTTTAAGTGCTGTTCACTGTGAACATTTAGAAGTTCCCAAGCGAAGCAGGTATGCACAGTTTACCTGCAGTAATCAGATTGAAGTCTTGCCTACCTGCTCAGGTGCTCAGTTCACTAAAGACCCTGTCAGGTTTTTATTTATTTGTTTTATTTAATTTTCCTTGACTCTTTCTTGTCAGTCACTGGCTCTCACTGGGTATTTGTTCAATTTAAGTGAAAAGTCAGTGAGTGACTGTATGGAAGTTGTGAATTGCAATCGAGTCTTCTTTTTTTGAAGGTGAACTTTGAGGAAGATTCACGTGCTAAATATCTCGAACTGTTGGGATACAGGAAAGATGATCTGAGGAATAAAGTAAGTGCCTGAGAGCTGTACTTGTGTTAAATACTTTGTTGATGGATTTATCTGCCAAGTGCAGCCTTGTATAATCAACATCTTCATTTGTGTGTGGGATTTGGTAAGAACCATTAGTGGTATCCGCAGGCTATTGCAGCACAATGAGCTTTTTTATACAACACTATTTTCAGTGTATTTCCCAACAGATAGTATTTGTCAGTGCCTCAACTTTCCTAAAAGCTCGTAGGTACAAGTGTTAGCAGTGTTGCTGGATCTTCTGTATAAACATGGCTGACTTGAGTATTTGTGTTATTTGTGGAACTCCTTTGTACCAGAGAGGACTGGATATCTTGGGTGATCTCAGAATTTTTGTGGCAGTTGCAATTTGCTCTAGGCATTTTGTTAGTTAAGTCAACTTGGAATGCAATTCTACAATGAGAATTTTAAAGCAGCCAATCTAGATCTGAGCGTCCCGTGCTGATGAGAAATTCTTTCCCATCCAGAAGCTTTGATATTTATTGGTACAATTTGTTCGTGTTTCTTGATTGAAAAGACATCTTTATGTTGTGTCAGCTCTGAATCTGATCAGTTTTTAGGCTTTCTGATTAAATAACTTGTGAGCCATGGGTGTCCAACGTTTTGTCTTACCTGGGCCATGTTGTGTGCAGAGGAATTGTCTTGGGCTGCATATAAAATATATAATACAATTAAATGCATGTAAGAAGAGAAACTTCATCAAAAATATGGAACTTGCAGGTCAGACACGGATGCTGTAAGCATTCTGACAAGCCTAGAATAGTCATTTTTTTGTGTGGGATGCCACTCATGATCAAGAAAGAAGAAAACCAAGGTCACACACAGCTACGTTTGGAAAGGCAAAATCTGAATTACCGGGAAGCAATTTCTACTTCTTGGGAATGGAGGTGAAGGAATGTTCTTATCTTGGTGGTGTGCTGCTGCACATTTTGGCCCTTAGCTGCTAGCAGTGCTTGACCCAGGAGCTTGTCAAATGCTTTCCCAGTTCTGGTGGAATAGTTTTGAGTGTCTGACTCATTTCCATTGTATCAAACTAACATTTCGTTTTGAAAGAGTGTCTCCATAAAAATGACACTGTTTACTAGTTAAATGCTAAACTTGTGATTGCAGACAATGTTTTTGCTGGCAGTTTGTCCGTGGCTTCTAAACTTTTTCATTTATCCTTTGTCTTACACACATGATTAGAGATGGGGGGGAGGAGGGGGGAGAAAAACAGCTCCAACTAATATATCTTCTACCTATATTTTAAATTCTGTTCATTAAATTTCATGCATTTTTAAGGGCCCCAGAATGAATCTGGAGTCATGATTTGCCTTGGAAAGTGGTAAAAGCTGAGAATTTCAACTCTGATGTACCTTGAAAAATCCTACCCCAAGGCCACATGTCTGCTGTGTTTAAAACCAGTTTCCAGACCAGCTTGTTGCTCCAGCAAGGTTGCTACTGCTATATTTTCCCTAATCAGGGCAAACAGAGGGTTTCTTCATGTATACTCCGATATTTTTATTAGTGCGGTTTCCAGCAGCTCTAGTGAGTTTTGAGGCCCTCTAGTTAACAATAAAAGGTTTAAAGGCACAGAGCAGCTCTTGTTTTCATCAGAGCTTGGGGTGCACAGGGCTTAACAGTAATTCCATCGGCAGACTGAGAAAGGAAATGGTTCTAGCTTCGTGTTAACTGTTCTGCAAGCAGGTACCAGCTACATTTACTAGTTGTGCAGCCTGAGAGACCAATGTCTCTCTAAAGGGAAAGGGCACTTCCTTAACAAATCTTGGTTCTTTTCAGATTACATCAGCTCTGAATCTGAATAAAGAGTGTTGTGCAGATGGTGAATTAGGAGAGGTAAGCAAACGTGTCCGTGTTCACCTCCACACGTAGAATTATAGTGCCCCAGGGTAAGTCAGTTGTAATCTAGCACATGATGAGTTCCTGCATTCAGTAGGGTGAAGTTACCTGTTTAGAGAAAGCAGGACTACTTTTTTTCCCCTCCCCATGTTTTCTAGCAGCAGGCTGTCAGCCCCAGGTTTTGGGAAAAGGTCTCTGATATTTTTTCCCCTTGCTTTTTTGCTGTCTGTGTGTAGCCTACTGTTGTACTTTGCTTCCTGTGAAGTAGGGCAGAGCCTTGCTGCTGCTAGCTGGTGTCAAGAGCAGCACCTTCCCAGGCTTTAGGAAAAAAAAAAAAACAGGTTTGAGAATGTGTTTCTGCAATGCTTTCCTGCCTGATTAACTCAAAGGGTGCAGATGTTGCTTGTGCCCTACAGGATCTGGATGTCATTTGTAGCTGCCTCATGTAAGGCAGCTACAAATTGCACGTTTCTAAGCAAATAAGATGAGAAGTTACCGTGCAGTAGCAAAAAGCAAGGAAATAGAGGGCTTCTGCCACATTCATTGTACTTGCTCATATACTGCCAATGCATTTCTCTGCTTTGCAGACTGACTCTGACTTAGGTGAGAAAGCAGCTATTCTCTGCAGTGCAAATTGCTTCTTTCTTTATCTTCTCTGGCTTTTTTTGTGTGTGTGTGACATCTTTTCTTTACTGAAGGCTCCCACAGAATCGGATGTGCCTTTACTGAACAAAGGGGATGAAGGCCAGACTGCAGAGGAACAGTTCTTGGGAGAGGTATCTATTATCCCTAACCTAACCCTGTTGTTATCCCTAACCTATCCCTGACTAACCCTGTTGACCTGCTGTGTATTTACTTTGTTACCATTAAGAACATTTCATCTTTTTGCCTTTTTTCTGGAATTATCTGTGGATGTACGAGTATTACTGAGAGTGAATAATGTGTAGGCTCTTGTTAAGTTCCATGGGGTTTTCTTAACAGTTTCAGCCGTTGCTTGAATAGATTTTGGTGGCAATGAAGGACGAGTTCATTTTGTAACAGTCAAGTTGGCACCAGAGCCAAGGACTTCCATCCACTGTAATTTTCACTCTGACGTTTACCTAACACGTACTAAATGATCTCCTGCCACAACTCTAATGAATTCCTCTTTTTTTTTTTTCTTGCCTTTCCTAAATGCTTTCTTCTCTCTCCCAGGTTAATAATTACCAAGCAGTCAGCTTTTTACTGCTCTGATTCTAGGTAGAACCCTTTGCAAAGATGTAGCTGTGATAGTGGGAATGTTGGTTCTCAGCATCACTCCCACTGGCATCCCAGTGCCAGCTTGCTTGCACTTGAAAGGCTAAAGTGAAACCTAGGTAGCACTGTGGGAGACTGTTCTTGGTGGGGGTTGGGAGTGAAAGAGAAGGAAGAATATCTGATCTTGTGGTGGTGGCTTTGTCTTGAGGGGTTTGTGCGTTTGTGGGCCTGAGTACACCTGTGCAAAGCAGGAGCCAGGTGTCTGCTTGGTGGTATTCATGGTCGATAGGCTGGTGCACTTCTGCTTGCATAAGCCTTTGTCAGTAAATCTGGTTGTTTCGGTTGTTTCAGTGCTTTTTTTCCCCCTTGGCATCTATTGTTTAAAAAGAAAAAAAAACACTTTGTCAAAATGGTGCTTGTATAATGGCATATTAACATGCACTATAAATTTTTTCATGAATCTAAGATTTTTCTCAGTGACTTTGTGCAGTCACTAGAGGAAGTTGATGCTCTTTTAATTGAAAGACCCTCTAGGCTACTGGCAGTTTGAAGTTCTGCCTTAACTTGTAGTGCAGGAAACAGGTTTTTAAAGATGGGTGTATGTATTCCAAATGTATATATGATCTCAAAAATGTTGCTTTTCCTTTCTCTTAGAGGGCCAAGGACAACAAACAAGAAATTGAAGACTTGGGATCTGCAAGAAAGACTTTTAATATCTCTGTCAGTGGAGGTAAAACATAGAATTGAATTTATATTTAATTACGTAGGGAGTGTAGCTTTCCTACATCAAACTACTTTGCAGAGAATGTTATGCAGTATTGCAGAGCTGGATGGGATTACCAGCTGTTGCTTTTAAAATTAATTTTATACCATCATTTGACAATGCACTGCTCTCTTGCAGATGTGGACGGTTTGATCACCCAAGCTTTGCTGACTGGTAACTTCGAGAGTGCAGTAGATCTCTGCTTGCACGATAATCGCATGGCTGACGCCATTATCTTGGCCATCGCAGGTGGACAAGAGCTGCTTTCTAGGACACAGGAAAAGTACTTTTCTAAGATACAGAGCAAAATTACCAGGGTATGTATTTCTGCTAAGAACCAACATGCACGTAGGCTTTTGGCAACCTCTTTTTCACCTTTCAAGTTTTCTCACCATTTTGTAGGGAAGCTAACGCATGTTCAAGTCTTCCACACAATCTCAGAGCACAAGTATTTATCGTGTTTTAATACAGTTTATTGGTAAGGAAAGAAGAGGCACGGAACCTGGGTAGCGCTCTCCTAGAACAGGGCTGACTGCTGCCAAGTATGGTCACTTCAGGAGTTTGGGCACCTGGCCTCACAGGCTGCAGCCCAGAGGTAGAATTTTGTTGGTCACTATCTGTGATCCAGTTTCAGACAGGAATAGTTGGCATTTTTAGAAGCGGATGAATGAAAAGAGGAAAATCTCTGCAGGGTTTCTCTACCTGTTTAGCTGCTTTCTCATAGTTGTCCTAAACCAGGGAGAGCTTTGTACTGGATAGTGGACGTGTTCTTTACAGTTTATCCTTTGGAGTAGGATGTTTTCATGGAGAGTTGAACTGTTATCTGTGCTAATAAGTGAGTGCTGATCTTGCAGTTATGACCTTACTGTTGTTGTTCAGGTGTTTGTTTCTTTTCTTGTCCCAAATGTCATGCCTACTGTTTGTTCAGCTGTTTCTGAGCTGAAACTCTTGGCATGACAAGGGCTTCGTTCAGCAAGTAGCAGCACAGTCTGCCGGGTCTGCCTTTTGTGAGAAGCAGAATTACTGGAAGCAAAGTTTCTGATGAAAGAAACTGGAATTTCACTTCTGGTAACTGTGAAGAGACAGTTTGAGTACATGTGTGAAGGGTAGGGGTACTAGAGCCAGCTTGGGGGTACTGCTGCTAATTTGCTTCTTGCTTTGAGCAGGGCTCTCAACTGCCTCTCGCTTGATACCAAGAGCTTAATGCTGAATAAAAAAGTGAACTTAACTAGCAAGTGCTCCTTGCTGCATTTTCTGTAGAAAGTTTATGGCTCAGTACTTGGCATAATACATCTTCACCTACAAAAGCAATGCTGAAGAAAGACCACCTGCAGCAATCCCAGCTCACAGAGATGTTTGTATTCTGTTGCACGCTTTATAGCAAGAGCAATTGCCCGGTGTTACCCAAGCTTGTTCTGTGATTTTTCAGTGAGCCCCTTTTAGAGTGAAGTTGTCTCTTATGGAGCTTTTGAATTGCAGTGCCATACCTGCCACATCCCTGGATGCAGTGGGAATGTATGCTTGCGATACACTTGAATATTCAAATAATACTGTACTATAAGAAATCCTACCAAATTCTTAACTGTGGTCTCTTCTTTGGCTCTAGCTCATCACTGCAGTAGTAACAAAGAACTGGAAGGAGATTGTGCAGTCTTGTGATCTGCAGAATTGGAGAGAAGCTTTGGCTGCTGTGCTCACTTACGCCAGGCCAGATGAGTTTGCAGCCCTCTGTGGTAAGGATGCCTTACAGACTGGATAATATTCATCCTGCTTACTGCAGAACTGTGAAATTCTGTTGTTGTCCTTCAGGTAAAATACTATAATGCCTTGCTAGCTTTGATGGATCATAGGGTTTTTCAGTACTGTTGCTGTAGGAGGAGGAGAACAGCCTCTGCAATGTTGATTTGCTTGTATGCTCTCTGGTTTTCTGGGCACAGGGAGATGCCTCTGAGCGGGCAAATGTGTAACGGTGAAGTTGGTGTGATGGATGTCTCAGCCAAGGGAGCAGTCTCATGGAGCACTTCTGCATGAGATACAAGTGGAAATGTTCTAGAAAAGCTCTTTATGCTTTACCAAGTGTGTTTTGATTTTGAAGAAGGTGCCCTTTTTGATCAATTAGCATGCCTGCATGTGTGCTGTGTGGCAGGCAAGTAGCTAAACTAGTTTGGCTCCTAGGGGAAGTCTTATTAACAGTACTGATGTGGCTGACACCTGTGTGCTTCTCAGACACCTGCCTCAGTGTTTGTTGTGCTGTGCAGGCTTTTTTCAGCACACGCATCACCCCAGAGCAGACTCACAGCTTTGCTCGCAGTGCCTTTGCAGTTGCACACCCAGGTCACCCTCTTGAGTTGTCCCAAACTCCTGTGAGGTGATCAGTGCTCGAGGGTGTCCTCACAGGTGGAGCCCAGAGGCAATATCACTTCTCTCTGTGCTGAGTGGGGATGCAATGAGTGTTGAAAGTTTTCCCCATGCCAGCAGCAACCAGGAGATCTGCAAGGTGGTTAACCAGCATTGTCTTGACTCATGTTTTCCATAGATCTTCTGGGTAACAGACTGGAGAGCGAGGGGGACAGCCTGCTGCGAACACAGGCTTGTCTCTGCTACATTTGTGCCGGCAATGTGGAGAAGCTTGTTGCCTGTTGGAGCAAAGTTCAGGATGGAAACAGCCCCTTGTCTCTTCAGGTCGGTATTTCCATGAAGAAAGATGTTGGAAGTGATGCATGGGGATCATGTGGCACTTAAATCAAATGGCTGAGAGTAGAGCTTTGTTCATAGGATTGTATCTGTATCTGTTGGAAAAGACCTCTAAGATGATCTAATCCAACCCCAACCCATCCCCACCGTGCCCACTAACCATGACCCTCAGTGTCGCATCTCCACGCTTCTTGAACATCTCCAAGGACAGTGACTGCACCACCTCCTTGGAGGCAATAGCTGTGTGCATATCAAGATGCAAACGTTTTGATTCTGGAATGGGTACTTTTAGCAGAAATAACCTGTAATTTGATATCAGAAAGTGTACTGTGAAACAAAATAGCCCCGGGGTCTACTCTGATGGTGACTGTGCTAATATACTTCCTGTGTAAAAGGCCCATAGGTAGCTGTAGGGCTTAGTGTTTTTGTAAAGAAGTGACTTTGAGTGTTCACGTATTTTGTGATAGATGCACTTTGGACATTTCTGCTTTTGGAATAGATCACTTAGACATTATGGAGGAGAAATCTAATAAATGATTTAAATCACGAGAGAAGCTTTGGGGGGGTTTGTGTAAGTGTTTTCTCCAGGGGTTTGCATGTATGAGGTTTCGTTTCCGGCAGTGAGAGATCATATATAGCAAATATCTTGAGGGAATAGGAGGATTGATGACAGTGAGATGAAGCAATTATTGAATAATTTATTTTATGGTATAATCTTAGTTTCTTCCATCTGTTCAGGGCCTTTGAAGGACAAGTTTTTGAGAGAACTCAAAGTAATGCTACCTGACCATACCTCTCTATCTTTAGAAAATTGAAGGGAATGGAATAATTTGAGTTTTACTTGTTTTTCTTTTTTCTCACTTGCAACTTTTTGGAAGTGTCTTACCCATCTTACCCCAAGATGATAGCTTTGTTAGACACTTCTGTTCTGATTTGTGTGCTGGTCGTGGTGTTCTGCTCCCTCAAAAAGTGAAATTGAATAACAATCATAATGGTCTGCTTGCTAGTTATGATATGAAATTTATACTAAGAGTCCCAGAAGCTGGTGGGTTATTGTGATGATTTTTTTTACTTGTTTTTTTTTTTTTTTGACATACTGTTTTGCTGGGAAAAAAACACAATACCATAATAATATATTACTGAAGAGTCAACCAGCACTCCTTATTAGTGAAGTATTGCTGAAATCCTGTGTGGTGCACTCTTAAATCTGTTACTGTAAGATTTAAAAGCGCGTTTGAACGTTGATGTTGGTAAACGAACATTTGTAGTGCCTTCTAACGTAATGCAGAAGGTTGGGCTTCTCACTGAGTGAGAGGGGTCCTGCAGAGCTGCTGAGAGCATGTTAGCCAGGGCCTCCTGCCCCCCGCTCTTCTCATGTCCCTGTTTTCTTTGACCTGTTCTTCTAGGATTTAATAGAGAAGGTGGTGATCCTACGCAAGGCCGTCCAGCTCACCCAGGCCGTGGACACTAATGCTGTGGGGGCTCTTCTGGCTGAGAAGATGAGCCAGTATGCCAACCTCCTGGCTGCTCAGGGCAGTATTGCTGCAGCTCTGACCTTCCTGCCTGCAAACACTGACCAGGTATGTGCCTTCAAACTTGATACTCCCTCTCTCTGTTAATAGGCCCCTTAAGCAAAGATGCCAGTGTAATGCAGTTATCATTGGAAAAACCCCTCCAGATGTGCTGGTGGTGCTTTTTCCCCTTGGTGCGTTGACCTTGCTGAACTGGCAGAAGTACATGACCTTGTTCTAAGCTATAATTTCTCAGGGTTGTCGTTGCAGACAGTGTCTGCCAACAAGGCTGTTGTTGCTGTTGTAAAGCCAGCCACGTTTCTCCTGCAAGAAAAACTTACTCAGGTCAAATAAAGCAGATCAGGCTTCTGAAGAGACGCACATTTGTTGATGTGTGACTGGCAAATCACTTGCTGGGATGCACTGGGGGGCAGTCAGTGTACTTAACCTTCCTTTGCTGTGTTTTTTGCAGCCGAATATTATGCTATTAAGGGACAGGCTTTGCAGAGCCCAAGGGGAATTGCCAGCAGGACAGGAAGCCATCAGGGCACCATATGAGAGACAGCCCATGCCCAAAGATCGAGCTGGCCCTGTGGTGGGACAGGTGCCAGGGCCTCAAACTTCAGCACAGCAGTACTACCAACAGGTAAATTGATGTTGGTATTCAGTATAAGACATCGCGCTTGAGTTCTGGAAGATGATGGCAAGAGCACTTGGTTTTCCTTTCTTTTGGTCCAAGCTGGGGCTCTAAGATGTAATCACCAAGCACCTTATGGAGATAATCATCTGTGCTGCTCTTCAATCAGTAGAGATTTGTTCCTTGTCTGGAAACATTTCTTACACCTTGCCATGCAGCCTGTGGTTGAAGATCAGGTTGAAAGCCTCTCAGCCAACTGCAAGTATAGGATTTAGGTAGCACGGCCAGCGGGTGGAGCAATAGCAGGACAGGGCTGGACATGAGCTGTGTCAGAAGGGAGAGACCTGGTGAGTATGGGACTAGGGGAGCTATGCAGACAGGAAGAGGAGCACCGAGGAGACAGATGTTCTGCTTCTAGCTTCTGGGCTGAGGATGGCACTCCATCAGGCAACAAGGTAGGATCTCAGCCACTGCCAGAGTGCAGCGCAGTGGACAACTCTGGCTGTGTGAACACTGAAAGAATCTCAGCACAATGCTGGAGCTGGCCTTTCTGTGCAGGAGAGGTCTCCCAGTGCTGCCCTTCAAGCTCTGCCTGTCAGAAAAATGGGATCAGGGTGGAAGAAGGGCTGAAGAGCAATGGGGAGTTAGGCTTTGCTGTCTCTCTCTTTATGTTAATGCTTGTGGGTCCCTTTGCCTTTTTTTGAGGCTGTTAACAAGTCAGCATTCAGAAGGGACAAAGCCTTTATCCCATTCGTACCGCATTACCTCGCTAATGCAATTGCATCTGACTTTGCGTCACTGCTAATAATTAATTCAGCTATTCTTAATTGTGTGTCTGACCTTCCTCCTTGTAACGAGCAAGACACTGTTTGGCTGTGGAAAACAGCACGTTTCCTCTAGATGGCGTGAGTTTAGCAATGATTTTCAAAACACTGTTTCCATCTCTCCTATGGCTTCAGGAAAGCTATGATTTAAGAAAGCCCTGCAGGTGATGGAAAGCCAGGAGTATCACAAGCCCCGGGAGTACACTGTGAGTGAGTTGCTCTCAGTGCTCTTGGTTTCTCTGGGAGTTCATGCTCGGCATGAGCTACAGCAGGGACTTCAGGCAGGGCCGTGTCAGAAAGGTGCCTGGTGGTACTTTGGTAAACCAGAACAGAAATAAATGACATTTTAAGTCTTATCTTTTTTTTTTTTTTTTTTTTCTTTTAAGAAAGCAGGTATGTTGGTTTGTTACATTTTGAGCCAGCATTTCCTTAATTGTTGTCCTAGATAGGAACATGCCTTTAGTCAGATAAATCTAGTTCAGATAACTCTAACGATAAAAACTTGATAGTAATAAAAACTTGATGCAGACCTTCACAGTGGCTGTTGAATGGCTGATGGCAACAGCAGTGTAACGCTGTGCAGAGTTAAAAACACACCAGAGGCGTCTGAGCTTTCCTTCTGCCTGTGCTCAGGGAGAAAGGGCATGAAGATAGATGTTTGTGCTTGTGCACGAGCTTAGTTTAGATTTTAACTTTTTAGTGCTTCTGAAACTCAGTATAAATCATATTGTGTGAAGCAATATGTTTCAATTTAACACAGGACTTGTGATTTCCAGCAGCAGTTAGTGATGCTCAGTGCTGTGCAGTACCCTGAGGGGAACTTCTGCAAAAACAAACTGATAACATTAGTCCTATGAAGCCCTTTTTGTGGCAGACCTGGCTTGCTGGCACGTGTAACATCGCACTTGCTTCACAAGCTGCTGTAGCTGCCTCTTCTCTGTGCTTAATCCTCACTCTGTGATTCACTTCTGTGCACAGTGGTTTTGGCTGTCTTGAACGCACTTTTTCCTTCCTCTTGTGATTTTTTTTTTTTTGGTTGTGTTGGAGGTGTCAGCATGCAAACCTCTCTCTGTTCACTTCTTTGCATCTTGTTTTGTGAAATCCTTTAGACTTTTTTTATTGCTTTGTTTTCCATGATTGGTATTTCTTTGTTCAATTCAGGTTAGAATTGCCCCTACTGTCACTACCTGGAGTAACAAAACTCCCACTGCCCTTCCCAGCCATCCTCCTGCAGGCTGTCCCTCTGACACACAGGTATAACCTTTGTTATTCCTCTCCGAGCCCCTGTTCCACCCTGATAAATCCCCCGGTGCCATCTGTGCACATGACACAGTCTGGTGTGGATAGATGGAAGGAGCAGCAGCTTCCACACGTGCTCAGGTTTTGCTCCTCTGCATCCTTCGTTACATTTTTTTAATGTATTTTTCACCTTTGCCAAAACAATTGGCTCTGGAAAGTTTTGCGTAGGAGTTCATTGTGACTTGAGCCCAGTCCTTAGGATATTTCAAGCATGATATTTTTCCTTCCCCTTGGAAATCAGAAGCATTAGAGTTAATACTCAGTCTTTTAGTTAAAGGTGTTTGCCCCTGTGCTGCTGGTAGCTCTAAAAGGGAAGGTAATTTCAGGCCACTAAATGCCAACCAGTTGTTTTGTTGCGGGTCTGCTCTGGTGCTGTGTTACCATCACCAATGAAATCCTACTTTCCACCACTCTTTTTCCTGACATTTTTTTTTTCCACAGGGGGACAAGCCACCTCCTCCAGGTTTTATCATGCCAGGTACTGTTAACCCCAGCGCACCACCACAGCAAGCCACATCTCCAAGCTACAGCATGTACTCGCAAGCAGGCACCCGGCCAGCGTACCCACAGAGTGAGTAGCTGCATCTCCCCTTCTTCCCACCGTGCTGGAGCAGCCAGGTGATAAAGGGGTGTCCCCATTTCACTGTCAGCCCACTCCTTGTGACTAGGGGGATTCCAAGCCAGCCTGACACTCCTGAAACAATATATGAGGAACCCCACCTTTTTGTGGGGCCCGTACATGAGACACTGTCAGATGCTGTCTTCTCTACTGAGGTATCTGTAAATAGCTCATAAGCTTGCTTCATGCCCACCAACCCTCCCATAGGTGTACTGGGGTCAGAGACCTGGGGATGAGTCTTAGAGAAGCAGCACTGGGCTTCCCAAGAGGGATCCACCCCCATCTGCCTGTGGCTGGGACAGTCTCACTGAGGTTGCAGTGGACAAGGACCACCTTCTGGCTCCCTGCTCCCTAGAGCAGGCTGAGGTTTTAAGCAGCAGTTCTCAGGTGACTGGCAGTGGTTTGGGAGCTGGGATGAGGCTGTACAGGTAAGTGGTGGGAAGGGGCAGGAGGTAGAGGAAGCTTGTTCGTGTGTTCTGAACATACTGACTGAATTTCTTCTTTCTGTTTGTAGCGTATCAGAGCACACAGCAGTACTCTTTTGGAACGGGGGAAACAGCTCTGTATCAGCCCCAGCAGCCTATTGCTGCCCCTGCTTCAGCCTCTTACCCAAGCCCTGCCTCTAACACCAACCCTCCCTACCTACCCACTGCGCACCCTGTGCCCTCCCCACTGTACCCTGGGCAGCCTCAGCCCTCCCCGACGAGCCTGAACCCTGCCTCTTCATTCCCCCTTCCTCCTTCTGGTGCATCCTTTCAGCATGGCAGGCCAGGACTTCCAGCAACTTCTGTGGCTTATGCGTTACCTACTGGACCAACAGGTACTCTGCCTGCAGCCAGTGACCTTCCTGCATCCCAGAGAACAGGTCTGCGCTTTGACTGGGGGGGAAAGCGGGAAGGGGGTCAGGGTTTGGCTCTATCTCACTAGAACATCACTTACTATTTGTGCATGCTTCATGGTGAGTGCTCTGTGTGAAGTTTTCTTGGGCCAACTCAAGGCACTTCTGAAACACTTGCCTACATGCAGCTTTTGGTTTGCCCTAGGCACGATGCTGCAGCATCACCTCATTGTGAGGCTGTCATGTGCAGTGGATAAATGGCGGCACAGCAATAATCTGTTGAGGCTGACACCAGCACCCACTGTGTGGCTGCAGAGCAAAATGAATTCATCCGCGTGTCCCTGCCTTGTGAGCAACAGGTCAAGCTTGGGCTTGGCAGCATGTTTAATTCAGACTGCATTTGCTGGGGCATTGGCTTACTTTGACTATTTTTTCCCTGGTCACTTAGTGCAGCAAGTGTTACCGTAGCTGTATATGCCTTAAAAGGTAATCAGAAGTGATTTAGAAGTGCTTTTAGGTGGCCTCTTTTCTGAATGCTAATCAGAAGCATGTGTGTGGCTGGGCCCCTAGGAGCATGTTTGAGCAGGCACAGTGAGAGCATGCACCCAGCTGAGGACTGATGCCTGCTGGCAGCACCTGCCTGAGTGTATTTGTGCTTTCTGAGACCTAACAAAGCTGTCTCCTGGCTGGCAGCTTGTGAAGTAGCAGCTTTGCATGTGTCAGTCTGTGCAGGTGGCAGGGGTAGTCCTTTCCTAAACATGCTTCACGTCCAGGTGGACTAGATCTGTGAGCAGAGGGAATGCTAGATGGGATCTGAGAGGTGTCATAGGCATACTGGTAGGCCCTAGGGAACTCTGTGGGGACACTGTCACTACTGTAATGCAGTGTAGAAACTGGGAAGAAAAGGACTTCTGCTGTGAAGAAATGAAGAGGACCGTTTTGGGGCAGCTGCAGTGGGCTGACTACAGCCAGACGTCGAGTCCTATTCTCGTTGGAGTTACTGTACTGGGACCTCATCTGACCCCATGTTACGGGATGTGGCTGATCTGTATCTCTAACTCAGTAGGATTATTAAAATGGATAGAATTGTTGGAAAGGGATCCAGGCTTTGGAGGTAGGGCGGCATTGTTATGCAGACAGCATTGCTTCTGTGCCTCCAAACAAAGGCACAGAACAAGAAAATCGTTCTTATCCGTTTTACTACTGTATTTGCGTCACTGGCAGGCACCACAGAGATCACTGCATTGCTTAGGTTAAGAGTGAAGTGCTTGTAGCCCATGTGATGTGCTTGAGCAGATGAAGTTCTGCATTCTGAGTGATAGAAACCATGGGCATTAATGATAATACGTGTAATTCGCATAGGCTGTGACCTAACATATCTTCCTTGGGTTGTTTCAATAGAAGGGAAGCGGAGGTAGCATTATCAGCACTGCCTGCCAGATTGCCTTTCAAACTTAAAAGCTGTCTGTGCTGTGCTTTTTATAATCTTTCTGGGAGTTACCAGCACTGTTTTTATTTCTCCCCATAGTTGTAGGGAGAAGGCAGTCAAGTGCCAGGCCTTCAGGAAACCAAACTGGCATGAGTTTTCTGCTGGCAAATGCAATGCTTGGGCTGAACTGCAGAGGGGGCTTCAGGGCACTGCTAGGTGCAGTGGGGCAGGTGGCTGCTGCCTGCAGCTGGACAAAATAGAGGTATCCAAAAATCTGATTTTTTTTTTTTTTTTTTTTTAAAGGTGACTTGTTTTAGGAAACGTGTAAGGGGAGGAAAAAGCCTTGCTGTGTTAATGCTGCAATTAGTGTGTGTAGGCTTTGTATGTTTAACCAGAAGTGCATCTACCACAGTAGCTGCATTGCTTATGGAAAGGAGCCTTCATATGAGATCTCTCAGAAGAGCAGAAATCTGTAGCCAGAAGTAAATCCATAGTTGTGGCTGTTCTGGAGCTGAGTTCTACAATGGTCTGATACAGCAACATCATGTCTCACTTTGCAAATGTGTTTGGTTAAGGGGAGTGAGGGACAACGTGGAATGTGGAGTCTTGAACAGTACCTGGCCTTTGAGCTGCCTTAGGTTTAGAGATGCACTTGGAAAATAAATGGTTCTGTGAAGGACTTCTCTCCTGCCTTGTAAGTGTACGTAGCCTCAGTACGTTAAGCCATGCTTGCATCTTGCAGTCAGCAACTGAGCCCACACTGATTTTCATTTTCAACTTGTCTCTCTTTTAATCTGCTTTGAAGGGAGTTGGAATCTTCAGGGTCTTGCATCCTTTTTGGAGTTGTGCTAGAGAAGCTGTGAGCTATGAACACTTCAGACTGACCTCAGAGACGGAGTTGTTTAACCCTGATGTTTCTCTTCTCTTTGCAAGGGTTACAGTGTGTCAGTTGTATTCTGCCCCTTGGGTTTATTGCCCTTCCATGTGGGTTTGAAATGACTTTTTGCCATGCTAGATGTGGACAAGACTCTAGACAGGCAGCTTTGACTCTAGCAAATGATTGGCATCCACCTTGAGGTCAAGTCCTTAAAACATCTCAAGAGTTTTCTGGAATGAGAGAAGGATGGTGAGAAGAGTGTTGCTAAGAGTAACAGTCTGTCAGCTCTGCTGGCCGTTAGGAATAGAAAATGAATGCTGGAAGAGATAAGAGAGTGGGCCAGGACTCCTCAACATTTGCTCAAAGCAAGAAGTGCTGATTTACTGCATGGGAAGAGAAACAGGGCTGTATGGGGGAAAGGCCGACAAAAACAATTTCACAGGGTGGGTTGGACAAATAGCTCCTGTCTCTTAGCTGGCATTTTAATTAGGTTTGATGTTTTTCTTCTGACTCCTTACTCTTATTGAGAGAAAGTGTGAATGTAAAATTCTAGGAAGAATGCTTTATTGTTTTTGAGGGAAAACTTTTTTTTTTTTTTTTCTTCTTAGTTCTTTGCTTTTTATCTGCAGAAAACCTACCAGCTCAAGACCAGGCCTCTCCCTTGGCAGGTGAACTAGGTACCACCTCAGCTGAAAATGATCACAGCTGCTACCTGAAATTAATTGAACAGCCATCAGTAAATGCATATGTTCCTCAGAGAACATCAAGTGCAATGCTGTTTTCTGACTAGACTTTAATCAATTCAAATGTATAATTCCTTAATTAAAACCAATAACAACAAATCTGGAGTTTTTAACCAGAGACAAATGCTGCTATGCTTTTTTCTTTCCTAACAAATTATTCCAGGAAACTATCAGCAGTGTGTGAGGCTTTCTAATGTGTTCCACTGTCAGCACTGCAGAAATTAGACTTCCTATATTAGAGATACTATGGGAAGGGATTTTCTGGACAGGGAGAGGCAGAGCCCTCGGGGCAATGGCAGTGCTTCCCATTTGTTCACAAGAAGCCAGATATGAAGGGGTCTTAATTTGTTTTCTATTTACTCCATCAACGTGCTCTGGATGTGAAACTTGTTTAACAAAAGCTCGGGAGATAATGAAATTTCAGAGCACTCGAGCAAATTCCGCAGTGACGATACGCTCTGCTGTCTGAGGTGAATCGATCATTTGCTAAGTGAAAAACACTGTGGTGAAAAAGTCCATTGAGCGGGGATTTGGTTTCGGCTTTTTGTGGCTTTGTGCAATAAATCCTGATTACTTGGCGAGGCCGCGGTAGTGCTGACAGAAAATGTCTGCTCTGGGATGAGATAGGAACCATTTCTAATGCACTAACGTGAGCTTTGGTGTACAAATCTTGCAGCTTTCCTTGAAGAGCAGATGGTTTGGTACATTGGACTGGGAGTGAATCTGCTCAGACATGCTCTTTTGCAGCTTGAAACAAATTGTCCTTGGTGGAGGAAGCTAGATGGGCTGCCTCAGCATCCATGAACCTGCTGTAGCTGGCAGGGGAAGCCTGGTGTTGTGGCTCCTGGTGTCTCACGGTGGCTGGGTGAATCTGGCTTGTGCTGTTGAAAGCTCCTCTTGCCTCTTCTGTCTCCTCTTTCCATTTAGTTTTGCTGGGGAATGCGTATAATGAAAAACAAGTGTTCATTCCTAATGTCATATGGGTAGGAGAAATCTTCACGGGTAACTGTGAAGTTGTCTCAACGCATGCAGTCTGTGCAGCAGAGCTGTGTTTTGGCCGTGGTAGGCAACTGCCTGCCTTTTCACAGGGCCCATCTGTTTCAAGCACTTATCCTGTGAAAGGCATGCTAGTTAGGAGAACGGGGAGGGAAAAAAAAAAAGGAAATAAAAAAAAAAAAAGGCTAAATCTCTGCCACAGAAAGAAGCCAGCCAGAGCTCCAAGAGGCATCTCTGCCCTCTTCTGAGGTGCTCACAGTCTCTTTTTTCCTTTCTGTCCCAGGACCTCAGAACGGCTGGAACGACCCTCCTGCCCTGAACAGAGCTGCCAAGAAGAAAAAGGTATTCTAGAAAGTCCTGCCTCAAATGATTGAGTGCTGACCACTTGAAAAGCAGTAACCTAACCTGCTCTGAGGGAGCTTGTTCGTGGGAGAAAGAAAGAGAAGGGTTAGCTACAAACAAAAGCCACATCTTGTGAACAGAAAATGGCCTTCACGTCTTTCCAACATGCATTATCTCTCTCAGAATGTTTATGCCTCTAAAGAGAATAGTGGCTTTGTGCTAGAGTTGTTGTTAATAACAACACGAATCCCTGTTTGAAGGAAGAAAATACTTTTGGACTGTTTTCATTGCAGAAAAGCAGTTGAGTTTTGCCTGAGATGATACTTAAGAGACATGATGAGGCTGGGCAAATTGTTACAGATTATTGACTATACTGGAGCTGAAAGCAATTTATCCTGATTAAGGGTTTGACCCTGAGAGATCTGCTAAAAGTAACATAATTTTCCTGATAGAGAGAGTGCAGTTTAGTTTTAAAAAAAAAAAAAAAAAAAAAAAGATTTAGATTGCAGCAGGACAGAACAACTGGGGATGCTTGGCACAGAGCAGAGTGAGTTTTTTCATCCCCTGGTGCTCCAGTCAGCATTGCTCACAGTGCATTTGGGAAGCAAGTCTGGAGCATGTCAGGTGCTTGTGGGAAGGAAAAAAGGAGTTGGAGCAGGCAAGATAAGGTCTGAGTGAAAGCAGTCTCCCGTGACCCTTAGATTTTGGTCTCTGCTTACAGCTAGGAAGCTGTTGGGTAGAGGGGACTTTGTGTGTTCCTGGCTGCCCCCGTGCTGGGACCTGCGTCCCACAGCCACTGTGCTGCCTTCAGGGCTTAAGGCTTTTGGGCAGGAGGGAAAGAGTAGTCAGTGAGAGCTGCAGGCTCAAGTGAAACCCTTCTGCTGTGCGTATCATGGCCACAGTTTCTGCCATGGCTTGAGGGGCAGCTCCCCTCTGAAGGAGTGATGTTTGTCCCATGGTCCTGTTGAATATTAAACAAACCTCATTGAGAAATGTTTAGATGCTTACTTTGCTTACGTCCACTGCACAAGGGGGAGATTTAGGCTGTAATAAAATGACTCACTACATGGGTTTTATTGTAAAAGAAAGGAACACTCTTGCATTTCAAGCCACAGCGTGATTTGCAGCTGTTTTCCCCCTAAACTAAAAAACATGGCAATTGGCATTTAAAAGTTTATTGTTGTGATTCATTGCATTTGTAACTGTTATCAGTGCTGTAACAGGAATATTCTTCTTGCTGTCCTATACCACCAGCTTAATGCTGGCATCTTTCAATCAGGATTGCGTTCAGCCTTCCACCATAGTTCATTTTTGTTTGCACCTCTAAAGAAATGTGTGTATAGGCATGAGAGCTCTTGGTTTTGTTTGGATTTCTGTCTGCCTTGTAGCAGAAGCTGACAGCTCATTTTGTTGTCTCTTCTCTGTACCAAATGTTTGCAAAATACCCCTGTGTAAAGACTGGCAGATGCTCAGGGATGAATCTGAACTGCGCTCATAATCTGTCTTAGTGCAAATGTGTTTGCCAGAAGCTTGAAAGGCTTTCAGAAGCTTTATCGGTGTGTGCTGCTAGCTGTGACCTATGTGCTGCGTGGACAGAAAAGCAGCTACAAAAGTCTAAATGTAACGATCAGAATGCATACAGGTGTAGGTTCTTTGTATGCAGCTGCTGACAGAGGAAGGAGTGAGTGAAATCCCACCTGCCCCCATTGTTTCTAAACCCCAGGGGCTCAGCTCTCTGCCTGGCTGGGCTCTCAAGTGTTGTGAGTAGGGATGTGGGGAGCTGGGAACTGTCTCTTTGTTTGCAGTGGTGGCATAAGCGCTGTCTGTTTTTTCCCAGGTCCCCGATAACTTCATGCCCCCAGTTCCCATCACCTCACCCATCATGAACCCGTTGGCGGATCCACAGGCACAGATGCAGCAGCCTCCAGCAGCCCCAGTGGGCACACCCAGCTTCCAGCCTCCGCAGCTCCCTGCAGGGCAGCAGGCACCACCGGGCCCCTATGCACCCCAGGCTCTGGGGCCGTGTGTCGTGCCTCCCACTACCTTCAAACCCAGGACAGAGGGAGCTCCTGGGGCCCCAATAGGCAATGCCATCCAGGTAGCGTGACATCGATGTTGTGTGGTTTGGGTTTGTGTGTTAGTAGAGCTCTGTGGGCTGGGATGCTGATGGCTGGATTGCGTGGCTGGGGTTAGTTAAAAATGATGTGGGGTTGCAGAGTGGCTTGGAAAGCCTCACCTGTGCTGTTTCTTAGCATGTTCAGGCATTGCCAACAGAGAAGATAACCAAGAAGCCCATCCCTGAGGAGCACCTTATTCTGAAGACAACATTTGAAGCCCTTATCCAGAGGTGCCTGCTGTCTGCTTCTGATCCGGTAGGACTCTGACATGGTTCTAGAGTAACCCTGTATTCAGGTGAACTGGTGTCTTCAGGCACAAGCAATGCATAGGAACACTGTGTGCACATGTGGTGTGGTGGTTTGGAAGCAGAGCAAGGCACTGCTGGCAGTCCAGCTGCCCAAGGAGGAGCAGCTGGTATTATGCCAGATCAGAGCTGAGGCTCGCATCTGTGAGTATGTGCCTCAGATTCTTATGTCTGGTTTGTGATTTCTGTTAGACTTGTCTCATAAGGAAACAACAGGTAGCTGAGAAGTGGAAGGCTAAGAGCTCTAACATAACTGCTGAAGCTAGGCAGGAACAACATCCCATAGTTTTTGCTACATTCTGAACAAACCATCCATCTCAGAGCTTCTCATTTCTTCCCAGTAGTCCATGAATAGCACACTAAGCCCAGATGCTGACTGTTTGGCTTGTGCATGCTGGAAGGTGGATGATGTAAGACAGGATGGCACTGGTCAGCAGCCCAGATCCATGCTCCCATTATTGCTGCTGGGAACTGAGCAGTCAGAGCCCTATGGATGTGGGAGTAAATTGAGCATTCAGTGTCACTTGTGTTGGCTTGCTGCACCGTTTCAGGTGTCTCTAGACTTTTGACTTTTGTATATGCTTGCTCCTTCTTTCCCCCACGGGTCTCAATGCAACAGTTTCAGTGGACTTGCCCACTTGTATGGAGAAATTTTTAAAGGCCATAAGCCTTGCTTTGGACAGACCCCATTGTGTTTAGTGGCATTTGATTCCTCAAAAAATTCCTTTTTTTTTTTTTTTTTTCCTAAGATTATTCTTCAGAGTATAGGCCCTCAGTCCTTTTGTTTCTTGAATCATCTCTCTTTTCTCAGACGCACAGTGAAGGCAAAAGTATTCACGTCGGCACACAGGAATTGCTTTTCTGCTCTGCCAACACAATTTGATTTCTTGCTCCTTAAGTCTCTCTGCTCTTAGGCAGAGCAAGCGTTTCTGGCACTCAGCACTGAGAAACACTGCCCTGACTGCACGCATCAGTTGCTGTCGGCATATATGTAGGCATCGCTCCTTTATTACATGCCAAAGGGGAAAACGAGTGCTTGAAGAGCATTAATGCTTAGGGTTTGGAACAGGAGAAGGCCAGGAGAACAAACAGCTTGTACTTGTGCCTAATTTCCTGTGGCTGGAGAGATGTCTTGCCTTACGGAGCACAGTTAATTTCTCTTTGCCTTAGCACTGACAGCTGGCTTGTAGATCTTTTCACAGGTTTTGAAACAGATTTCTAGTGGTCGTGTATATAAGAGACTTAGGAAGCCTAATAGGCTGTTTCTTACCAGCTCCTCTGCTGTGCTCCTTCCTTACCTGCCCTGTCCTTTGGCAGCTGCTGAGGGGGCTTCCACACATGACATGAGAGTTCTGCACCCAGTGTTCTTTTCTATGCCCTTTGCCATCTGAACAGCTTCCCCTAGTTTCTGGCAGAGCAGGTAAGCCTTCCCTTAGCCTTAGATTTTCTCTCTCTGCAATTACTTAACCCAGGGAGAATTTTCCTGTTTCTGGGGAGATTCATTTGAAGATGGGTTGATGCATGGGTACTGATGTAGGAGTAGGTTCCAACGCACTTGTGCACTGATAGAAATTATACTGCTAACTGACCTTATTTTTGCTTTTGTAATTGTAATCTGAATGCTCTGCTAACGTGTTTTCTTGTTATTTTGGAGTAAAATATTTTATTTCTGTAGCTGTTTGAAAAACCAAGTGGATGTAATGCATTTCCCAAGGAGGTGCAGTGCTGTGAAATATAATGGGATGATTTTTAAGAGTCTCGTGGCAAAGTCACTCCATAGATACCAGTGGGTGGTTTAGTCTACCTGGAACTCATGGAAGCAGAAAGGATCTTTAAGAACAGTTTGGGTTAGGCTATTAGTTTTTCTGTTGACAGCTTCTGGTCACTAGTCAGGCAATGAAAAACATAGCTAGAACTTGCTGTAAATGATGACTGCTTGTGCCCTTCAGTTCTCAGTGACATTACTGGATACTTAATTTCAGTAATATCTTTATTCAGCCATTGCAGTGCTTTGCCAGTACGCCATCAAACAAGAGTCCTGCTCAATTTCTGTCCCACTTTGCATGCCAGCTGTACTGGTGGGTTTTACAAATGACCCTTTGGATGTGCCTTTAAAGGTTACTGTGCTATATAGGTAACTGGAGCAGTTGCATGTGGGGAACTGAATTTCACCTGGTCTTTCCTAGCAAAATGAAGGGAGAAAAATACAGAGCAGAACCATCAGGAAAATGGTTTTGTCGAAAACATTTCATGTGTTGCATAGACCTCTTTGCCATGTGCTTACTATTGCCCATTCTTAATGTGTTTTTCTTTTGCAGCAAACCAAGAGGAAACTAGATGATGCAAATAAACGCCTGGAATTTCTATACGACAAACTTAGGGAACAGACAGTAAGTGTTGTTTTTACACTTTGCCTCAGTTAAGTGGCCTGTTAACTAGCCTGGAGACATGAAGCTTGGTAGGTTTTTTTGTGACCACAGTCTGCTGCTGCAGGACTCCCACATCAGGAAACCGCAGCCATTGGGGGCTCACAGGGGCAGGGATTGCAATGAATCTGTCTTCTGCTTGAAGTCTGCTGTCAGCAGCTTTGCTCAGCGTGCAGTGCTTCTGAAGCCTACTGTCCTTAAATTCCAGCAATTCCAGCCCCTTTTTTGAGAGGCAGAGGTGACAGTCAGGACTTCTGTTGTGCTAGCACTCCTGTTTTTGCTTAACTCTGACCTGCCTCATGTGGCTTCTTTGCAGCTCTCTCCAGCCATCGTTAGCGGCTTGCACAACATCGTGAAGAGCATCGAAACCCGCAACTACGTGGAAGGACTGAACATCCACATGCACATAGTCAGCACCAGCAACTTCAGCGAGACCTCTGCTTTCATGCCTGTTCTGAAAGTTGTCCTCATCCAGGCCAATAAGTTGGGTGTCTGAAGCAACCCTTTACTTGCGAAGCCTGTGATGGTTGCTTTTCCAAAGAAGTGCATTTCTACAGCAAACATGCAAGATGCGGACCAAACGCCAGTCCTTACAGCATGTCGCAGTAGAGCTCTGACAAATGGCATTATGCTCTCCCTGCAGAATCCAGCATTTTAGGCGGGCCTTGGAGCCCTGGTGCTTTTCTTTTTATTTTTAACCGTTTTCTCATCCCCAATGGTTTGTCTACAGATAGTGTGTTTAATGGGGATGGCGCCCCATACTGTCAATTTTTAGATGCATGTTATACTGTTAAACAGTGGCTTTTAATAACAAGATACATGTGAAAGCGAGAAGATAAGTTGTGTATCTGACCCTGCACCTCACTGTTCCTTAGACACCAGATTAAAGAGTCTGATCCTGTTGTAAGTGTAGTTGGTCTTTCATTTTATGAGATTGCTTGCAATTCTGTTGTTACAATTTACATGTCATATAGCTTAATTTTGCACTGGGACAAATGAGCGAAATAAAGGCTAATGTTGTATTTTCAATAAATGTTAATTTATTAAAATGTGTTGTGATGAAGTGCAACTTAAATATTTTGAACCTGGAGCACAGCAAGGCAGCTTTCTGTGGCTCCTGAGCTGCAAGGATATGTTTATCTTTCTGTGTTGCTCGTGATAAAGCTCTACTCAACATTTACACTGAGCTATTGACATTTCAAGGAAGGGTTTTACAGGAGTTCTGAACAGATCTGTATGTATTTATTAAAAGCTGAGAGCAGAAATAATGTGGAATGGTTTAAGCCACCCTTACAGAGATGTATGTCTATACAGTCTGCAAACAAGGTGCCAATTGTTTCTTGCAGTCCCCCAAGCATGGAGATTGGCCTCTGCTGGGACACAAGCACATGCTGTGCTGTGAGAGACTGCGAGCAAGCCTTTTCTGCTTGGGTCAGGTGAGTTTCTCAGCACATGGCTTCTCCTGCAGCATGGTAGGAGCTGGCTTTAAGAATTTCCAACAAGTGTGCCATCAATTTTGGGTATCACTATGTCTAGACTAGAAACAGCAGTTGAAGGAATCAGCCAGTTGAAAAGAAAACGGCCTGTGAGAAGCAGTTCTGTATTTAAAAAAAAAAAAAAATGTGTAGAGTCTGTGCAATGTAGATTTGGCAGTGCATATTGCAAGAAATATTACAAATAATAATAATGCAAGTTATGGCTGATTCCTGTGACTTCACACTGATTATGAGTTTGTCAGGCAAAATAGCTCTGTTCCTCTGAGGGAACTAGGTTTAATCTTATTTCTAAACTGTTATTTGCTGACCTCCTAAATTTTTGTGATTGGAGAACGTGCAGCATTGAACTGGAGTTACTTTGTTTCCAAAATGTAAAAAGCCATCCAACTAATTTTCTTCCTGTTAATCTCAGATATAGATTTCTTACCAGTGTTAGAAGTAGTTTGTCTGCAGCTCTTTTTTCAGAAGGGGTTGTAGGTACCTTGCATAGAATATCCATGCACAGAATAAATCTGCTTAAGCTGGGGCTGTGCTCTGCAACTCGTGGCTGGATCACTGCATTGCCTGAGTTCAGCACAGGACTGCCTGTGAAAATCTGCTCCTCTCCTGAGAGCAGCTGAGATTAATAGCAGTTCACTGGTGCTACTGCCGTCTGTTCCTATCTTCAAGGAATGCCAAGCAATTAGCTGCCCATCTGATGTTATAAATGCAAATGGCTGGCTTCCTTTTGCAGAAGGCAATGAAGCTCTGCCAATTTACACTGCTAAAAGAATTTGGCCCCAAATAGCCCAGTTTTAATCTCGGTGAGAAGAGGTTTATACCGGCAATGTGGGTGGCTGCCTCTACTCCACGACTGCTGGTGCTGGGCTGAGTCCTTGAGCCACAGGTGGGGAGATGGTGAATCCCGTGCTGATAGCAGGAGCAGTGTTGATGTGCCCAGTGTGATGGGGGGAGTGTGGGACTGAGTTTCCAGCCCCAATTCTTTGTGTGCCAACCTGGGTGCCTGTTGCCAATTGGGGTCCTGTGGGGCACAGACAGGAGATATAGGTGTGCTTAATGCAACCCTTGCTCAAAAAAGACTGATCTGATTGAGGTTCCGATAGGCTTCAGAGCTACAAATTGGCCAGAAGTCTCATTGCAATAGCTTTTCTGGGATTGCCCTTGGGTGGCTGCTAGAAAAAAAAAAATGAGGCCAACACTGTCAATGTTTTGAGTAGCAGAAGTGTGTTGTTAGGGCAGCAGCAGCACTCAGTGGCTCCAGTTGCATCCCTGCAAACCTACTCACTTTCTTTCATTGCCACTGTCCTCTTTCTTTTTTTCCAGGTGGAGGATTCTAGAAGAATGCTTAAAATGTATCAGGGAGAAAAAAGAAGAATAAAAAAAAAGAGGGGGGGCTTTAATTATATCCTCTCTGCTGACTGCCTCAGGAGGTGTTGTTAGTAATTAATTAGCACAGCATGCTGTGTGCTCTGCACTAACAGCACTCTGGGCTTGTGTGCCACATGGCCCTGAGTAGCCAGAGGGCTCTGTGAAAGAGCATTGCCTCTACACACACTGCTGCTCATGGACACATAGAGAGAGGGCAAATGCTGGTGGTGCTGCTCTGTGGCTGGAGTGGTTGTTTCTGGGCACGGGAGTGGAGGTTCACACAATCACAGGAGTTGGAAGGGACCTCCAGAGATCCCCAGCCCAACCTCCTGCTGGAGCAGATCCCTGCAGCAGGTCACACAGGAAAGCCTCCAGGTGTTCTGAGTATCTCCAGAGAAGCAGACTCCATGACTGCACTGGGCAGCTGTTCAGTGCTTGTCACCCTCACAGGAAGCTTCTTCCTCACGTTCGTATGGAATTCCTGCATTCCAATCTGTGCCCATTGCCCCCATCCCTGCACAGAACAGAGCCTGGCCCCACCCGCATGATTCCCACCCGTTAGATATTGATAAGCACTGATCCGATCTGCTCTCAGCCTCCCTCCTGCAGGCTGTACAGCCCCAGCTCCCTCAGCCTTTCCCCATGCAAGAGGTTTTCCAGACCCCGATCATCTTTGTCGCCCTCCGCTGGACTCTGTCCAGAAGTTCCCCGTCCTTCTTGAGCTGGGGAGCCCAGAACTGGGCACAGTGCTACAGATGTGGCCTCACCGTGGCAGAGCAGAGCAGGAGGACCATCTCCTTCACACTGCTCTCCCACACTCGCACTCTTTGCAACGCAGCCAAGGATCCCCTTCCCCTCTTGGCCAACGATGCGCCCTGCCCAGCGGCAGCCCTGGGAGCCACGCGACGGCTCAGAGGGGCTCGCCCCGCTCCTGCACGGCACAAGCGGCTCCGCGCAGGGCCCCTCCTTTGCCGGGCACCAGGTGCGGTCACGGAGGAGCTCCTGCCGCCCCGCCACACCCCCGCACCCGCCGTCCCGCAGCGCGGCTCTCCGGGCGGGCCCTGCCCGTTGCCATGGCCGTCGCCACGGCCGTCGGGGACCCCTCGCGCCGGTTGGGCCCCGGCAGCGAGGCGGCGGGCGGCACCGCTGCCGGGCGGCGGCGGCCATTGGCTGTCGCTATGCGGGGCCGGCGGGCTCCCGTCCCCTCCCCTCCTCTCCCACCGCCGCGGTGCGGGAGCGCCGTGGAGAAGGAGGAGGAGAAGGAAGAAGAGGAGGAGAGGCAGCGGAGCGGAGCGGGCCGCCCGCCCGCCCCCAGGCGCCCCCCGGCCGGGCCGCCTCCCTCTCTCCTTCTCTCCCTCCCCTCAGAGCGGCGGCGAGATGGCGGCGGGCGGCGGGCAGGCCATCGTCTGGCGCAACGTGGTGCTGATGGGGCTGCTGCACCTGGGCGCCGTGTACGCGCTCAGCCTGGTGCCGCGGGCGCAGCTGCTCACCCTGCTGTGGGGTGAGTGGGGCGGCGGGGGCGGCCGGGGCCGCGAGGTGGAGGCGGCGGCGGCGACGCCTTTGTGGGCCCTCCGCCCGTTGCTGTAGAAACGGTGGGCTCGCGTCCGTCCTTTTCTGCAGCCGGGCGGAGAGACGCGGGAAGGCTGGAGAGGCGATGCTTGGCGCGGAAGGTCCCGCGGAGAGCCAGCCCTCGGGACGCGGTTTCGCGGACGACCCCGTTTTTACTCTTCGGTCGGGAGGGGGCACGGCCATCCTTTGTCCACCGGGAGGGGGACGCACCGGGCTGCGGGGCCGGCCGGGCGAGCGCCGCGTGGCGGCGCGGCGCTGTGCGGATGCGGCCGAGAGCCGCCGCGGAGCCGGGCTGCGAGAGGAGTGCGGGCTGCGCTGGAGCCAGCGGGGAGCGCAGCGGGCTGGAGCTGCTTTGTTCGGCGCCGCGAGCGATCGGGGCTCGAGGCTGCGGCGGGCAGGTGGGCTTCCTTCTCCTGCGTCGAAACCCCCCGATTCCTCTGTGCCTTACTAG